TTTTGTGTGTATATATATATATACATCTCCATACTTAATAATGTCGATAATATGAATGTGCATCCACTTACGAGGTATGCTAATCGCCGGGTCGTTCTCTAACAACCTCTAGCACCTCGATGTCTGTGCAAGTCTTAGTGCTGAAATGGGCATATGAGCGATTGCCGAAACCGGCTGGCGGTGCTAATGGACGTAACATGAGGTGTGTTGTTTTTCAAGTGTTCTCCTCGTTTTACAAGGTTTTTGCATCAGTTTTTCCAAGCTTGATGTCTGCAGGTGTCGCTTTGGGAACCAAAACGTGTCATAAACCTAGGGGTGTCACTTTTCAGGTGTTCCCATCGCTTTACAGGATTTTGGGCATTCATGTCCTCCCATTGCATATTTGAATGGCTGGGGGTTGTGGCGATTGCTCATATGGGTCTTCTTCGAGCTCTCGTCTCGGTCCCACGAAGCGCGAACCTTGAGCATGTCTCTTTCGTCCTTCAGTTGATGCACCTGCCGATCGAAAGCAGAAGAAATCAATGTGAATTGTGAACCTTGACAGCTCCTAACACAGCAATGAACGAGCAACGCATGCAACCCCCAAAGCCCAAGGCCTGTGCTTCTGGGCCAGCACCTGCTCCATTCCGCACTCGAGCTTCAGCAGCCTGGACCAAGGAAGGAGGAACGGATAGGGACGGAAGAACTTCGCTGAACCTCCTTGACCTCGCCGTGCCCATCGCAAAGAATACAAGAGCGTGGCCTTCTTGCACTCGCTGAGCTTCTGCAAGTGCATCCTGCCGACACAACCACATACAACCACGACCAAGCAGGTTCTGATTCGGCAGTTCGACGCTCCTCAGGGACTCCACCTCCGCCTGCGATGTCGAATCGCTGCGGTGAAGCTTTTTGCGAGGTCCCTACAAAACCCTAAGCCCTAAACCCTCGCTCGAGCGCGAGTGATAAATTTGTTACCGTAGAAATCTACAGGTTTGTCGGTAGGGTCTATCCGGAGGGGGGTAGGGACCTGTGCAAAAGGGATAGGGGTCTGCACCGCACAGGGGGTGGTATAGGTAGGGATAGAGTCTATGCATAGGGGTCTATGGGAAAAGGGAGGGGACCTATGCATAGGGGTCTAGGCAGAAACGGGTGGGTTCTATGCATAGGGTACCACGAAGCCATGAGAGGGCTCAGACCACAGGGCCCTATCCCAAAACCATAGGGGTCTGTATAGGGGTCTATCGACACCTATCATAGGGGGGTACTTAATGGACCTATCTTCGGAGTCTTAAGCGCCTTGGCTGTTGGGGGTTTAGAGTTTCGGGGGTTCTAGGTTTAGGGTTCTTTGGTTTAGGCCTCAGAGTTTCTTAGGCTTTAGGGGGTTTTCGGGTTTAGGGTTTATTTTAGGGTTTACGGGTTTTTAGGACTCAGGGGTTTTAGGGTTTAGGGGTTTTTGGGGTTTGGGTTTAGGGTTTAGGGATTTTTAGCCCCCCCCCCCCTCACATTTGCAAACACAACACTCGAATGATGGGTTCGAAAAAGAATGAAGCAGGGGTGTTGGGGGGGGCTCACCCCCCCCCATTTGCACACACAGTGCTCGCATGATGGGTTTTAAAAAAGCATGCCCATGTTTAGGGGTTTTTCGGGTTTAGGGTTTTCGGGGTTTGAAGTTGAGGGGTTTTTAGGGTTTAGGTTTTTTGGGTTTAGGGCTCAGGGGTTCCTAGGGGTTTTTAGGGTTTAGGGTTTAGGGCCAGGTTTTTGGGGTTTAGAGTTCAGCGGTGTTGAGGGTTTAGGGTTTTTATAAGGGTTTAGGGTTTAGGGGATTTTAAGGTTTAGGGTTATTGAAGGGTTTAGGGCTTAGGGGGTTTTAGGGTTTAGGGTTTTTCTGGGTTTAGGGCTGGGTTTAGGGACTTTTTTGGGGAGTAGGGTTTCTTTTTGGGCTTAGGGATTAGGGTTTATTTGCAAACATAACGCTCGCATCATGGGTACGAAAAAGAATAAAGCGGGTGCGTTTGCCCCCCCTTCCCCCCCCCCCCACTTGCACACACAATGCTCGCGTAATGGGTTGCAAAAACATGCCTACGTTTAGTGGTTTTAGGGTTTAGGGTTTTTAGGGTTTGGATTTGTTAGGGTTTGGGGCTTAGTGGGTTTTAGGGGTTAGGGCTTTCGGGGTTTGAGGGTTTTTTAGGGTTTAGGGTGTTTGGGTTAGGGCTCAGGGGTTAGGGGGTTTTAGGGTTTAGGGTTTTTTTAGGGTTTAGGTTTAGGGCCAGGTTTTTGGGTGTAGAGTTCAAGGGTTTTGGGGGTTTAGGGCTTAGGGTTTTTTAAGGGTTTAGGGCTTGGGGGTTTTTAGGGTTTAGGGTTTCTTTTGGGTTTAGGGCTGGGTTTAGGATTTAGGGCATTTAGAGGGATTAGGGTTTCTTTTTGGGTTTAGGGATTGAGGGTTTTTTAGGGCTTAGGATTCGGGTTTGGGGTTTAGGGTTTCGGGTTTAGGGTGTAGGGTTTCGGGTTTAGTGTTTCGGGTGTAGGTTTAAGGACTCAGGGTTCGGGTACAGTTGTGAGAGGACGAAGGGACGGATAGGGCCCTATCGGGAACGGATAGGGGTCTATGCCGCGGATAAGGGGTCTATGTCTAGGCTATGCCCCCCTGTATATACCAGGCAGGGGCCTATGCATAGGCACCTATCCCGCGCCAGACAGACCTTTGCGGATAGGGGTCTATCGCCTAGGAGTAGGGGACCGGGACCTATCCAAAACCCATAGGCGGGTACTTTGCGGACTCTTACTCCCGAAAGCCGAACCAATCCTCAATGAGGTAGACAAATCTCTGTGACAAATATCTATATCTATGAATCACTTGATTCGGGTGCGCCTGCTGCGCCCTGTTTGAAGCACAGATCTCCTTCAGCTGGTCCTGCACTAACAATACCTCCCTCGTATCCCAGAGACATCCAAAGACATAGCTATCAAGTGGAACGGCCCTAAGCAGTGCTGATGTAGTTTTGATGTTCATGTTCATTTGGGAATTGTGGTCGTGTCTCTGCCCGAAACATGCTGAACCTGGCTGCTGGGCCTCTGGCTCTCAAAGATGGCGAGCATAGTGTTCCCAAGAGGGCGAGAACTTGCAAAAACCATTTAAGGGGACGTCACGCTCAGCCCGGCAAAGACGTGCTTGCAAGCCGCACTCTAAAGAGCACAATGCTAAACGGCCAGAAGCACCTGGAAAAAATGATGCCGGGAGTACAACCATATTTTGCTTGTTGGATCAATCATGGGCTTCTGGTGAGGCCGAACCTCTCCCCCCGAATCGCTTCATGTCAGCATGCATGGCAGTGATACTCCACAAAGGGCCTGCAGCCGATCAGCTGATGGGACGTTAGTCGCACCATCGCACTGATCTTGAAGACCTTCGATGACCTGTCCGGACGTCTGCAGATGCGGGCCAGAACTAACGCAATGAAAAACATATGGAATGGCTGCAGAGCAATTTCTTTTCGGGACCTTTCAGCCTTTTGCAATTCTTGGTTGATGAATCCATTCCACCGGGCCCTTTCAATCACTTGAAACAAAATTCGTGCTTAACAAGTCCATTCCTTTGAGGCTTTTCAATCACGTGAAATGTATAGTTAACAAATCCACGCTACTGGCCAGGGCCCCACGGTGCCCAACGCCTACTCACGAGCTTCAAACTCGCTCGGAGCAATGAGCCATCTAACGATCTCAAACGGGCGTTTTTTTTCTCCAAGAACCCTGCGGATGGGCTTGGGTACAGTATTATCCGTCGGAGTGTAATCTGTCCCTTGGGCCCACAGCTCGGCGCTCCAACTCTGCGACTCTGCGACTCTGCGCCTTTGCGACCACGGAATCCCAAGTGTCAATGCCTCGTGGCTCGCCCGGCTCGCCCGGCTCGCCCTCGTGGCATTAAAGGATCCTATCGCAGCGACCTCAGACCCATCATACTTCATCACCAGCATCTTGGCATGAGCCCTCGACTCATTGAGGCATACACCGTGCGAACTCCTGGCCACTGATCATCTTCAGCGCGATCCGGGCCTCCACGAGGGTCTGCAACGAGCTCCACGTAGCTCGGCAAGCTTCGTCCTCGGTCTTGCCTTTGTCCAACAACGGCTCGATCTTTCCACCTGCCATGGCCACCTCGACGAACTCTTGGACCAACGCTGGATCATCGAACGGAAAGGCCGTCTGGCTGACCATCACAGGGTCGCAACTCGGGCCACTGGTGACCCCGAGCGAACTTCACCATCGTTGGCATAGCTGGCTGCAGGACGCTCAGCACCGCCAAGCTCCTCAGCGCGTCCCACCACAACAGTGTTCGGTGCGGGCCAAAGACCAGCCTTCCCGAACCCAGGTCTTTCCTGGCGCACCCATCGTGGGCTGGAAGGTTGGTGGAAGTGGAAGGCCGGAGGGCTGGAGTGCTGGAGGGCTGGAGGGCGGGAGGGCTGGAGGGCTGGAAGGCGGAAAGAGGGCTGGAAGGCTGGAAGGGCTGCAGGGATGGAGGGATGGAAGGCGAAAAGGCTGAAGGGCTGGAAGGTTGGAGGGCTGAAGGGCTTCCAGCCCTCCAACCTTCCAGCCCAAGACTCTGGCCCGCCAGCCTGGCTTCCAAGCCACCTTCAGCCCTCCAGCCAACTACTGGCAGCCTTCCAGCCTTCACCTTTTCAAGACTGTAGGCTAGATCAAAATCATGTCATACTGGGATTTGAGCGAAGTGGAGCACGAAGTGCAGAGCGGAGTGAACCAACGAAAGATGAGAAGGTGGAGAAACTAGGAGCTGAGAGAGGAGATGGGGAAAGTGAGAGATGAGAGGCGTTAGGGCAGGATTGATGCCAGCGCTTGCTGCCATTCAGCACCTGCTGGCATCAGGGTAGCACGTGAGAATCCTTATCATCGTTTTTCGCGGCATAAGGAAGATACTGCTCCTTCAGGGCTCCTGGGAACCAATATGCGAGTGGTCTGGCTCAACGAGCTCAAGGCTTTGCTTCTGATTTGGCTTGCATTCCAGCGAAGGCGTAATCTTTCAGAATTAAGTGCTGTGGAGCATTGGAACTCATCATTCAAGGTTTCTCGCTTACAATGGCGGCAAGAGCACCGGTCCGTCACATAAGCACAGAACCCTAGAGGCCCTAGAATTTGGTTTGGGGTCCGGCATTTTGAAGGTTTCCCTATCGAGAAAGTACAACCGCAGGCATGTCAAGGCCAAGGAAAAGGTTTGATTTCCCCTCTCTGGGCTTCGAAAGTTACAGCACATGCCCAGTTTGTTTTTGCTTTGCACGAATGCCGCCAAGTCAAGGCAGAGCGGGCTTATCTCAATGGGCAGAAATAAAAAGTCAGACTAACCCTGACTAACCTACACGTCGGGATGATGAACACAAGTAAGAAGTTCATGCATTGCTGCGAAGTCGGCAACATGCCCCCTTGCGATATCACCCAACTGCCACAGACCCGTTGGCAACCAGCTGTGCGACTTAGAGAGCGCCGATCTGGGGTCTTCGCCGCAAGAACGCGAAAAGTTAATACGTTGAACCAAGAGCTTGTGCAGGATTTAGGGCGGCAATGGGAAACTGCGATGGCTCTGAAAAAAAGGCAAAGGGGACAATTGCTAGAGTTAGTGGAGACTTCCCGAAAGAAACAATACTCACCAGACGCATGTCACTGGTTCGTTTCTTGTTTGAGTTGGTTTTGGGGCACGGATCACCAGCAGATTCCCGGAGCGCGCCTCCGTAAAACCAGAGATTGTTTCCATCAACTGCTCCTTCGCGCAGCAACTTTGCAACATCTTGCAACAAGGCGCAGAACTCGGCAGAATGCAGAAATGGTTGCAAATTGTGCTGGTAGCGACGTCCAAGGGCAGCAACAGCTGCGAGTTAACGTGATGCTCGAGCCACGACAGAGCCACGACAGAGCCAAGCAAACCGCTCTTTTGCACCGACTCAGATTTTCTGCAAGCTGAGTGCCTCATGTAGGAAGGCTGCTTGCCGGCTGAATTCTTCATTTCGCTCCTGCCAACTTCCCGCACCGGCGTGCCCTGAATCAGAGCTGTGCAGCACAACATTGGCTATATGTGGGGTACCTTCAGCACATGCACGTCGGCGACGGACTCCTCACTGTCTACACGGGGCACAACACGGCTTGCTATTGCAACAATCAGTTTCACTGTAGCACACGCCTGTGTAAAAGTACTTTCGAATTCGAGCCCTGAAGTTCACGGATTCACGGCATTCGCGGCAGTCAATGCCCCAAGTTCATAGGTTTCGTACGAGCTGAGTGCCGTTGACCCGTCTTTGGCAAAGCCTCAAAATCTAACAACAAGCGAATATTTAAGACTTGCTTCAGATCGCAGTAAATGTCGCGGTCTTGCAGGACTTCACGAGCTCTACAGAGACGTCATGATGTGTGGTCATGAGTGGTTGCTGGACTTTCGCTTTCTTGCCAGAGCTTTGTGGAGGTGTCACGGGTCGTGGTCGCGGGGAGGAAGCGCATCTGTGTTCATGGGCAGGTTCAACTGATGACAAGTACTTGGATTGCGCCTTGGCAATCGATCGGCCTTGAAGACAGTTAAAGTTGCGGGTGAAGAATGCAATCCAAGCAAGTGCATACAACTGGGAGGGCTTTTGTTCTTCCACTGTTCTTCCGGACGTAACATCGTGGAGAATGTCCAGACGTACTTGAACTCTTGTGCTGCTGATGGATGTACAAGGGCCAGCTGTTACAGGCGATCCTTCAAGTTGTGCTCCTGTGCCTCCACTGTATAAGAAAGGAGACGAACCTTCTGCATGATTTCTGCAAAAGAAGCGCCGCTCAAAAACGCAACAGCTAAGTCTCACTAGAGGTTTGGACCACCCTGTTTCCGGCGGTGACGGTCGCTGGAAGACCTCACATGACCTCATTCATTGGCCTGTTGCGCTCAATCTCACCGCGGGTTGCTCACTGTTGTTCGACTCATTTTGCAAAGGCCTTTTAACCACACCCGAGCCTAACAGGGGGCTATACCCATGAGCGCGAAATTCAGGAGCACAGAAACACACAGCACAATAAAAACAGCTTCGACTCAGCTCAGACCACTGTAACACGCTACTGCAACACTTGCAAGACGTGACATCGACTGAGAGCGTCACGCCCATCCTGGCTTGAGCTCCGTGCTCTGAGGCGCGCGGCGAACTTCAGCGACATCCAGGCTGGTGCCCTTGCATCGTTGGAAGCGCATGAGATGTATACCGGCGGGTAGCGGTGAGAACGCAGGTTTTCGTATGGTGATAATGATCGAATGTTTGCTTCATGCTCTGCGTCTTGAGGATCTCCCCACTCCTCAAACTCGTGTACAGTTAGTGGGAGAGTTGGGTCCATCATGCTCGTAAGCGTGTCAATGAAGGGAACCTCCAGAATAGCAGCGCCAACGAGAGCAGCATCTGCATGAGAATTCAGAAGCGCACCAACGGTTAATCCGCCAGCGCTGGACCCTTTCAAGCATAATGCTCCGGGAGTCGCAATTCCACGCGCAAGCAGGAACTTGATGGTATCCGCCAGATCCAGCACCGAGTTGGATTTGTTTAGTTGCCTGCCCGCTTGGTGCCACTCTCGCCCATTCTCGCCACCGCCACGCACATGGGCCCAAGCTAGAGTCCAGCCTCGCCGCAGCAAGGCAATGTGTTCTGGTCGAAAGTCCGGGGAGAAGCAAGTGCCATAAGATCCATAGACTTGCAGCAAGCACGGAGCCCCTTGACCACCAGAGTCTGCTGAATGCCTTACGACTGTAACAGGCACAGCTACTCCATCTCGGGCGGGAAACTCCAATCTCTGACACTGCAGCGAGCTCAATGACTGTGCATCATCGACCTGGCACCGATTAACAATCCTTGTGAGCCCACTGGACAAGTCTAGCTCATAGGTACAACCAGGCTCAACTGGAGATCTGAAGGTGTATCGCACAGCGTCAGCATCGCTCTCAGCATTGATGCCTGGCTCTACAGATCCGACCGATGGCAGACTGGCCAGATAAGATTGGCAGTTGCTCGACAAGTTGTGTCTACTCAGAGGAACAACGCACACCTGCGGTGCAGCAGATTCATGCCCGTACAGCACAAGCCATCTACTCAGCATGTCAGCATCTGTTACGTGCAGCCTGCCTGGGGGTGTGAAGAACCTTTCCAAACAGGACCATGCCCCTTCTGATCTGTCAATTTCATCAACAGACGCTCTGTAGACCATGAAATCCGGCCTTTCATGATTGCTGACGATGTAGAGCCAGCCATCCCGATGCTCGGCAAAATACTCGACCCCAGCAGTCTTTTTCAGCATTGGCTTGAGTGAAAGGTCTTTATCATCTTTACACCATCCACCGCACTTTGTAAGACGAACCTCCGAAGTGTCCTTGGTATTCGCTGAAACGAAAATGTATGCACGATCTTTCGTTCGATAAAGCTCCAAGTAAGCGGCTGCGTTGCTTTCTTCCCATAGCTTCTTGCAGGTGGTACCAGTTCGGCTCATTGTCAGCTGCACAGCCTGGTATGCCCGCTTGCTTGCCGGATCAACTTGGACAGCCAGAACGCTTACCTCGCCATCCTGCTCTGAACAGTTGCCCAAGAATTCGACACTGCGGATGTTCGGAAAATTGGCTTCTCTTGTCTTGGAGTCTGGATCCAGGCGGCGCAGACGCAATTCAAAGGAGTCATCGCCATGCAGATCCACGATGTATGCCAGCACAGCATGATCATCAGAGACTTTGCACGTAATGACGTCTGTGTAGCTTGTGCCTCCCGCCAGTTTGCCGGTGTCAAGCAAAACCTCCTCAACCTGTTTGCTCGCTTGGCTGCGCTTTCTACAGAAGAGCAAGAACCCTTCAGCACTGTGTCTCTGGTAGTACATGAATGGACCTTGTCGCTCTTCCACGATGCTCTCAGGAACGAGAAGACTTGCTGCTTCTGCCTCTAGCTTGCCTCGAAAATCTGCAGCAGAAGCAAAAACTGTGCCTGCAGCCTGTGTCTCAGCCGCCAGTAGTCTGGTCAGAGCTGGTCCCGCCCGCTGCAAGTAGCTCCACTCATCGCCCATTCTGGAACTCTTGAAGAAAGAAGTCAACGCTTGGGTCGGGGAAGTTTGTCTCACTGTCCTCCAGGCCTCTCGAAGTGCGCGCCGCACGTGGGCCATCTTGGGGACAACTAAGCTTAAAGCAGAATCAAAACGGAACCACGCCTTCGCTGCGTCGCGCTTAGATGTGCACTAGAACTGAGACTGACCGCAGCCATTCACATCTGCATGCTGGAAGCAGCAATCGTTGCCAGCTGACGGAAATTATCACTGTCCATCTCTGGTCCAGCTGTAGATGCTCTAGGCTGGTGAGGATAGCTATTCAAGGCTCAATCATAGCAGCAGAAGACGCCTTCGATTCTGTCACGCATTCTGGCAGACACGTTCATTTGGTGCAGCCCACATCTCCTGCAGCTGCCTCTTCTCGTGATTCGTATTCCGCAGGACCTGAACGCTACTCAAGGCGATTGATTGATCAAGATCCACAGTCAATAGTCTGCTGACCTATAAAACACCACCGTGCAATGTGCAATTTTACTTGTTGCTGGATCGCCAAGAACCTCGTGGCTGCATGTGTAGGTGTCGGTGTCTTAAAGTGCCAGTACCGGCCTCTACAGCATCTACCGACCCCCATGCCCTACCGAAGCCCAGCTTGCTAAGGATTGCCTGAAAGAATCAAGGATATGAATTGATTTGAACGTGAACGGAGCACCTTCTCCGACATCTCCTTCTGCTGCATTGTCCGGTTGAGCTCCTGACATCAAAGTGTCAAGTGCCGGTCCGAGCTGAGGACATTACAACTCGAGCTGATCGAGCTTGCCAAAATCAATCGCGAGAGCATGCTTGAAGCGATTTCCGATGCGTGCTTTGTGCATCTATTTCGTCTGCGCAAAGACGGGCGTGCAGCAGCGCAATGCAGCGCAGAGAGGATGCCTCAGCTTCTGTGAGGCGATCGTTTGCCCCAAGATCTCATCTCAGGCAACAAGTTCTACTGCAACGACGACTGTCAGCCACAACGATTGCAACCTGGAAACATGCTGCTCGCAGTATCTCGCGGTCTTCGGATGTCTCAGCATGTGTCGCCGTGACTGTCGGCCTCATGCAGTGAGGCTCGGCATTGACTGGCGAGGGGTATACGTGGTCGTATGCGATTAGTCCCGAACTAGCTGCGAACTAGCTTCCGGGGCGATGACATGCCATGACTAGCTTGCACATGTATCAAGACAGGTATATGCTGCGGAATCGGCAGAATCAAACGCGTCGCTGTCCGGATCGACGCCTGCGGTGCTGTCATCCAGAACAGCTCATGCATGGCATTGCATGGCCAGCCCTGAGGTTCAGGCAGCTTGCAGGGGACGTTCCGGCTCCCACAACCGGCTGGCAGAGACGGCACATATCGGCACATGCATCACTAGACAGGAACCCGGGCCGGTACCCGAACAACTCGGTCCAGCTTGCCGCCGTGCCTGCTGCTGTTCGATGACAGAGGATGACATTATCAACTATTGTTGATTTCAAGATCAACTAGATCTCTGATGAACTCAACTTGGGCCACCACCATAAGTATGCACGACCACCCTGCGAAAGCAGCAAGCAGTCCGAGCCTAGGTCTGATGCGACAGCTGCTGATCTGCATCGTAGCTACCGCATCTTCCAACTACTATGTTTAGTATCTGCCACAAGATGGGGCAGAAGCCAACGCAGCTAGCAGCGAGGCGTTTAGGACCCTTCGACGACCACAGATGCCATAACCTTGCGAGACGGAACATCAGAACAAATCGCTTCAGCGAGAGCACTTTCCCCAACAAACAATTCAGGGCAGCTGAGATGCAGCTACGGGCAGTGCATGACACTGTAACCTCGTCGTCTAGACCATGCGCATGCTCGTTTCAATTGCCGTTACACCGTGTTGATCGTGTTAGGCCTGTGGGTCTTTTGAACAGTATGAAATAATTGCACAAGTATGTCGTTCGGACCCGTCCATGCTAAAAACAACTTGATGCTCTGCCGGTTGGAGTGTCGTCTCTGCATGACTCTCTAGGCAAGCTAGTAAGTAAGCTAAGACTTTATTATGTCGTCACCGGTCATCAACTGCTCGCTCGTGACAGGCTGGGGGTCCAGTCTCCAGAAGCCCACGGCGTGGCGCATAGATCACCAGACAAGGCCTGAGATTGTCAAGAATCCGGGGATGCGGCTAAAGATAGGAAGATAGATCTCAACCTGACGCTTGCTAGGACCTTTGGCCTCCATCCTAGACATGATCAGACCAAGCGGCAGGTCTGGTCTTCCACAGTCCTGACTTGGGGCTAGCACGCAAGCACCCGTTCTCTCAATTCAGCGGAGATTCAAAACACAAACTCGAAAAGTCGAAAAGTCGAAAAGTTTTCGACTTTTCGGGACTTTTCGGGACTTTTCGGGACTTTTCGGGTTTTCGACTTTTCGGACTCCCCCTCCCCCCCACAAAAAACTAAACGAAAAGTCGAAAAGTCGAAAAGTGGAAAAGCAAAAAATGGAAACGCGTAAAAGTCGGTAAAGCCCAGATAAGTCGAGAACTTGCGCAAAGCGTCTGAAAGTCGAAACGTGAACGAGGGGGGGACCCAAAACGGTATTCCTACGCACCACGAACCAAAACCTCACACACCAGAAAAAACAAAAAAAGGAAGCTGTTCCAGCCGAGGAACTTCGCGATTCTCCATTACATGCAACAGTCTCTTCAACGAACCACTAACCAAAACGTCACGCTCGACCCTATAGGCTTTCAGCCTTACGACCTGACACTTTCAAGCCCCAGTCCTCGACTCTATAAACCAGACAAGGCTTCTTCTTATATCCTCAACCACAAGCCGCTGCATGCTGCTCGCTTTGGGCATCCAGTCCACCCCCTCCCCCCCTCGTTCACGTTTCGACTTTCAGACGCTTTGCGCAAGTTCTCGACTTATCTGGGCTTTGCCGACTTTTACGCGTGTCCATTTTTTTGATTTTCCACTTTTCGACTTTTTGACTTTTCGGGACTTTTCGGGACTTTTCGACCTTTCGACCTTTCGACTTTTCGGAACTTTTCGGACTTTTCGCGTGAAGCTCTTGTCCAAATCCACTTTTCGACTTTTCGACTTGTCGGATTTCTTTGTCCGTACTCCACTTGCGGCCGCGGACAACCGTTCGCAATCACAGCCTGACTTGACATGTTTCAGCTTCCACAGCATGCAAGGCTCCGAGCTCCTTGTCTTCAAAGCGTCCCTCCCCTGCACCTACCTGGACTGGCAAAGCTTGAGAATCATGACAAGTATGTGGATGCGGCCAATGCACATTGTCAATGTTACCGCTAACAGCCGCTAACACTGGTAACAAGACGCGTTGACCAAGCCTTGCCTTTGCCTTCTCAAGGCCTGCAATAGCCATGTCTTTGCAACACACGCGGACGCTGAAGACAAGACCAGAAATCTCTTGTTGCACTGCGAGTGTTTCTACGTGAAGAACAGTCTGGCCACACCTGTCCAGGCTCAGGTCGTTGAAAATCCCCTACGGTTCCACTGTTTTCAACTCACTCGCCTTTTCGAACCCAGATCATGTGGAACAATGGTGGTGCTGTAGGAGCTATAAAGGCAGATTCTGCTTGTGTTTGCAGTGGAACTCTGCTCCGAAAATGTCAATACACCAGTAAGTTTTGAATAGTACGTGCATGCGTTTGTTCGAGTGCGCGTGCGTGTGCGTGTGGTGCGTGTTTGCGTGACCTCTTTGGTTAACATGATACCATCTCACATTTTCTACGATACTCCATGTTTGCAAACACTCGAGGCCAACTTCACCTCCGAGCCTGCTGTGGACAGCCATGAAACTTGGGCATCTCGGTAGCCTGTTGGACGCGGCACCGGGAAATTCGAACACAGACCACTCATGCACAGCAATGTTAGACAGCCATTCGATGCTGTTCGTCAGCCGGAGCTGTCCTACAACAGGAGCGACCGTCAACCAACCGGCTTAGTTGAGAGCAAGGCGAGGGCCTGGTGGCACGGCAAAGCGTTTTAGGCAGGCAGGGCTTACGTGCAGATGCCGCAGCAAAGGATTCGAATTTTGGGGGAATTGCAAGCTGTAAGCTCAGGTCCTTGGGTTGGGGGGGGGGGGAGTTTTAAAGGTCAGGGGCTTTCATCCTAACTCAGGCCAAAGGTGGGGGTGGCGGGAGTTCGTCCCCCCTCCCCTCCCTTCTCTCCCCGTGCATGTATGACAACCCGCTTCAGAACTTCGGCATTTGAAACTTTGCTAGTGAAGGAATTAGAAAGTGCTCATGCATTTGGCATAAAACGCATCCAACCTTGTCAACTGGGCTTTAGCCACACCCGTGCAACGACTTGAATCCGGTGGCGACCTCGCTCCGAACAAAACGAATGCAGCCTGACATCAAACAGGCATCAACTCAATCAAGCCTCTTCCAATTGAATGACAAAATCCGCCGGGGCCGGAGGCGGTACCCTCCGTAGTCCACCTGTATCCAGTCGCGGCCGACGTGCCCGGACCAGGGGGATTTGGGCCCAGGTACCCCTGCCTTTTCCTACCCCCTACCCCCGCAATCCCCCGCCCGTATGATTCTCCCAGGCCACTACCCCCTTCCCTGCCCCCCCTGCCCTACTCCCTCCCCCCCAAACCCCTACCCACCCTCCGCCCCCACCCCCACCCCCGCTGCCCCCACCCCCCCCCCCCCTGCGCTTGTTGCTCGCATGCCCTTCCCTCACCCCCACTACCCCTTCCTGCGGCCTCGGTACCCTTGCCGAAACGGCCTCGCGTTAGCGATAGATAAAATATAGTTGGACCCTGCGCGCGTGATGCAGCGCATCTGCAATTGCATCGTCTCGTCGATGCTCAACAGCCACAGTCGGAGCGTCACCCGCATAAGCCAAACTATTCACCGAAGCCGCTGGCACATCACGTCCTCCCCGGCTTCGCACATCTGCTTTTGTGTCACGCAGCAAACAATCATGAGAATGCAACAAGAGGCGGAAACGGCCAACCTTGCGGCGTTCTTGCACTCTGCGAAACGTCAACCCAACGTCTACCGAAGCAAAAGCATGGTGATGCTGGTGTTTTCCAAGGACGAAACAATGTAATTAAACCCCGCACTGAACTAGTCCAGAACGTAAGCACTCGCATACGCGTAATTGTAATGAATCGTAATTAGCTCTCGCATACGCTAAACGAAACACGACGGCGGACGCTTGTTTTTGCGGACACTTGGTTTGCAAACAGTGTCTGAGTCTCGCAGTCTCCGTGAAAAGCTATGCTATCGGAGGCGAGCCGACACAGAGAGCGAGGCCTGCAGAGAACGTTGGACCGTTGGACCGGTCTGGCCGACACACCTGAAGAGCGCGAGGTAATCCAGGTCACGGCGCACAAGCTGCGGCGGGGACAACCAGCTGTCAGCGCGGTCACTGGGAATTCCAGCAGAAAGCTCAATGATAAGTGAGACGAAATCGCCGCCGTACTTCCCGAAGCGGCAGATTTGGAGCTACAGGTTCGCGACCTCCTGGGAGGCGTCCGACAGGAGGCGGTCCCGACCGGACGAATAAAAAATTAGAACCAGAGGGGAAGCGCGGCCGCTTACTTGAGCCACTCGGCAGTGGCATAAGCGAGAACCCGGCGCACATGCAAGTTGCATTCGACAATCGCCAAGCCGACATGGGCTCAAAAGGTTTCAGCAAACATCGAGAGCACCTCAAACTGTGGAAGCGTGCCGGCGCTGCCGCCGTGACTTCGCTTTGCTTGACGCGCGTCTTGAGGCCGAGTAGAAAGTTTCCAACAATGATGGGGGTCACATGGGTCATGGGTCAATCGCGCCGATGAGCACCACAAGGCCCCAACACAAACAACAGCAGGATGCGGCAGGCCTTTCCACAATTGAAGGCATCGAAGAGACTCCAAGCAGAACAACGCCACACGGCCTCGAATAGCAGCACCACCACTTCACCGCGTCTCTTGCACACCAAGCGAGCGACTCAGGCAAGCACCGTACGCATCGCAGGTTGCAGCCAGTCTCGTTGCATCACCTGGGCGTACAAGAACGATCAAGATTGCATTTGGCATTTGTCAGTCATTTATCCCTAATTGTGGTTCCCTGTGTATGATATCCTCACAATCCGCTTCGAGACAGCTGGGCCGCTTGCTTGAGCTGTAGGGCGCTGGCATCAAGACCTCGCCTTGTCGCGAAGCATCCTGAGGTGAAAGGCTGCAGGATGTTACGTCATGTTACGTATACAATTCAATGTTCCCAACATTCCCCAACTCATCCAACTGACCTTGTATTGACAGGTCTCGATGCTCCCAAGGTCAGTGGTCAGACGACACAGCAATGGCCCCGACACCCGAGATGCATCAAAACGACTGCAGCTCAACAAATATGCCGTGCCCTTCCCCGGATGTGCGTGGCGGAAGGGGAAGCGTGCGGCCCTTCCAGCTTTCACAGTCTGTGTCGCCACGTAAGCCCATACAAGTAAGTGCTGGACGATAAATTTTGCTGCGACGGGCAATTCCGTGCTCAACCAAGGTGATACCTCGTTGTCAATGGTAGGTATGGTCGAATGGTCAGGGAACTTGGTCAAGGAATCGTGATGGCAGAAGCTGAGTCAAGCGCTTGGATTTCACGAGCTTGTGCAAAGCCCGCTATCTTGACTGGCCCTCCTGCAACAAAGAAGCAAACTACGCAATCAGCAGCGATCCATATCGCTTATGCCTCTCCTTTGTGCTATTGCTGCTATGGAGTTCTTCAGCGGACAGGATGCGGTCACCAGCATCCTCCAATTGCTACTGTAAGCCATTCTCCTGCATCTGTTTTTGCGCCAGCAAACAGGCCTAAACCTGCCTACAAGACAACGCCGCGCAGTTGCGCCAGCTACGACCCTGGCGCTTGCTGGATCAGGCCCGAGACGATCGAGTAGCACAAACGGTGAAAATAGCGCAGAATCGCGGTGTGGTTGCTTGGCAAAACCACCGCATGCTTTGAGCTCTCGCATCTTGATCCCGAGACTCGGCACAAGCCTCTCAGACCCGTTCCGCTGGTTTGAGGAACTAGGTTTGTACTTCGTAATCCCCCGACTTGCATTGTGTGCTGTGGCAGACTCCAAGAAGCAGATGGAATCAGACCTAGGATCCGTAAACTTGCCATAATATTAAATGTGAGTAAAAAGACACGAGTGAAAGAGCGAATGAAATAAGCGAATTCACGAACAGGATGACACGACACATGACTGCCAAGGGGTTTCGTTCTCACTTCACGCCCCCACATAATAATAGTAATGAAAGGGGCGAGTTCACGCGCGCCCTTTCATTATAATTATTATGCGGGCGTATGAACGAAGTGGAACGAAGTAAACTCACGAACGCCCGAATTTTATGCATTAAAAGCGTGCGTCATTCATTTTATTCACTCCTGACCTTTTCATTATAAAATTGGGGCTTTTCTCCTCGTTCGTGTCATCATTACGTTTCATGCGTTCACTACGTTCCTTATAAAAGCAATAATAACACTCTCTACGTAATAATAAAGTGTGTGTACGCCCCCAATTATTCAATTGTTTTAAACAAACTTTGCGGGGGTGTTGTTACAGTTGTTGTTTATGCCATTGGAACTTGCAGTCTCTGGCCATGCTGTTGTTCAGCGATGTGGTGCTTAACTGGTGCTAAACACCTACCCGCTTCGAGGCAGCCGCCGTGCGCAAGAGAACGTAGGAACAGCGAAAAAAACTGAAGGAAATGAGCTCGGAGCAGCGGCAGCAGCAGAAGAAACGCGAAGACAACCGTAAAGAGTTTTCCCTGAAAATCTCAACAGCCACATGCCCCCACCTTCCCTAGGCCTCGCCCTCATGCACATTCACCCTCACCCTCAACGACGCTTAGCAACGCAAGTCCACACACACACTCTCTCTCACGAACAGCGTTTTTGCCAAGGAAATGATGCGCCGAAGGCTTCAGGGGCTGCCAAACAGTGATGCTTCTGCGTGGATTTTAGGCTGGGCGTGAGCCTCCCTAGTTATGCAGATATGATCAGATATGCAGACCGCTTACCCGACCATGACTCTGGAGTTTCTTTTGAGGGATCAGGAAGGGGCATCCTTCATGATCACGCTGATAATAGCCGTTGGCAGTGTTGCGTGAGGCCACCCACGACCTGCAACCCATCAACCGCATGCAACCAGGCTGCAACCATGTCCGGTGCGCACCATCCGCACATATCCGCACCTTGCGTAGTTTCCCAGAGCGGAGGCAGCGGTTCCCAGCAGTGACCTGCCTGGACCTCTCCACCCCGGCAGTGAAGGAACAACACTGGAACAACGTCACACAAAGAATGGAATTTTTGAGTTGGCAATCAAGTATCAACCGTCCGCCTGAGCTCTTTGCCTCGGCTCTGGGATGTGCTGAAATTGCATGAAATCGCTACAAAGTCATGGCAACTGACATGGCTGCTCACGACTCAGCTTCATGTCCCGCCACTTTTAGGTCATATCATCGAGCTTGGACCACGGCTGGGTGACGCAAGCTGTGCAGGGACAGAAACGGCTGCCTTGAAAACACCACAATACAACACAACGAGTCAAAACATCGCAAACATCACGAACATGAAGGCGAAACGGAAGTGTCTCGCATCGCGCATGGGAAACAACATTGGAAGCAACTGAAGAGTCGGCGAACCAAGGGCAACCACGCTCATTCCGCTCATTACTTCGTGAGGCCGCTTGATCGCGAACGGGTCCTGAGACGAGTTGCCGCGCTGAAACGAAAGTGAGAAACAATGTCATCTGTCGGCAAAAGGGCTCTCATGGTCTTACTAGGTTTTTCCTTCCCTCACAATACGGAATTCTTGAGCTGGCGTATTTTCCGCCCAGTCGACCAGGTTCTGGTGTCTGCGTCTTCTTGTTTCACCATGATGGGCACACAACTAACATCAACAAACTGGAGCTAAGTTAGCAACTAGCAGCGACTGCTTACCTGCCTCCAGAGATCTTGCACCAGGCAGGAGAACAGCATCGACTATGCCAGCACGGCCACGGAGGTCAAAGACCTGAACTCCGGGGTCTTGACTGTGCTGAATGAACGACGCGGCATGTCCATCTTTAGGGAAGGCTCTGTGCAGTTGAACCGATTCTGCGCGGTTTTTCTTCGGAACCAGTGATCCACAAGCAGCCCGTCTGCCACCCAAAGGTATCTGCTACAAGAGCAGCACAGCGAGCTGAGATTGGTCAGGGACCGCTCAAAGAGACTGAGAATCGGCTTTAGCTTTAGCATGCCAACTTGTGAAAACTGTGAAACTTTAATCTGCTGTTAGCAGGCAATCGTTTGGCTGCATCTGTAATGACACTAGCCCTACACCGTCATCTTGCTCAGGTTTTACATGGAAGCTTTGCTTCACCATGTGATCAGCAACATTCAGCAACATTCAATCGGCATGGCGGGCAGCTTCAGGGCCCCTCGTCTATGTTGGCATCACTAAGTGGAACCTCAGTAAGCCTGTCGAGCGAAGCGCTCTGAGGCAAACGCTCCTCCCATCCCACGGCCTGTGGTTGGCGGGTGGTTAAAAGGGCGAGTAGACTCCTAACTCCTAGGTCAGCCAAGGGCAAGTATGCAACATGCTTTATCAAGCCATACTGTCAAGACTACAAAACTGAAAATGACCAAAGGGGGAACTATGTAGCGCGCTTTCGGCTTGATTCAAGGGCCCTGCGGTTCGAGCACGGCTCAGGCTTAACAAAGCATGCACAAACTAGGCTTCTCCCGTAACTTGGTGCCTCGGACGAAACGGTACATTCACCCCACTTATCTACGCGGTCTACAGGTAGGACACAGTGAAGAAAGCGTGGCATACACTCTTCAAGGTCAAGCAAAAGAGCTGGGCCTTGGGCTTACGTCCAGGGGGTTGAGGGACAGGCTGATGCCCGGCACGAACGAAGCTTCGCCCTCGCGACCAGGACTTTCTGGGAGTTTCCCAAGAACCATCCCGAGAGCTGACATAGCTGACCTCTTGCATGTCTTCTCGAGGTTCTCGTGGTTGCGGCGGTTTTGATAACTCTGAAATTCGTTGCCTCCACCACTCTGCTTCGTCTTGCAACGCTATATGAGGAGGTGGGCAATCTGGTTTGTGCTGGAAATCGGGCGGGTGCTCCAACAGCATGTCGATTGCCGACATGCGCTGCTTCAACATCTCTGAGAGCTCGAACTGCCTTGCAGGTGTGGGGAGACAAACCATTTTGCGGATTTATGCGGTGAGCACACGACACAGACAGCCATTGACATTGACTCCGAGGCATGCACACTATTGAAACGCAACAAGCAAAACAACACATTAAAAAAAAAAAAACAACAAATAGAAAACACTAAAACACTGGCACTAGCATTGACAGACAGACATTGACGCTTACTTGCTTACTTAAGTACTTACTTACTTACTAGCACACGTACCCAGTGAATCTTAATGTCATATCTTACCAGTATCTGCAGGCCTCCTCTCGTTGTTGCAATCTTTGTCTGAAAGACACTGGGAGGACTTTACGGACTATTCATGCCCTGGATGGTGTTTCCCAAAGTTTTGACCTCCTCTGAAGCCCTGTTCATGGCAGGTGTGTAACTCTGAGCACAGTAAATGGTGTGTCAAGTTTGCAAAGCACATCAGTTTGGAACAGCAGAGGATCAAGGTGGGGCCAATAGAGCTTACAGTCAGCAGCTAGGATGGCTGCCACTTGCAAAAGTTGCCTCCCCCCCCCCCCCCCATTCCACGTGCTGCTTGCAAGTCCCTTCACGCATCTTCAGCTTCAATTCAAAGGAAGAAATTCAAACAGTGGGTGCGGGCTCCGGGACTGGATTCGAGGTCGAGTCCTCTGCGCCGAATTGCGCCGCATTGCGCTGAAATACGCCGGATGTGCTGCACCGCGCTGCATTGCGCCGAATTGCGCTGAATGCGCCGAATTGCGCCGAATTACGCCGGATGTGCTGCACCGCGCTGCATTGCGCCGAATTGCGCTGAATGCGCCGACTTGCGCCGAATTACGGCGCTGCACTGCGCTGCATTGCGCCGAATTGCGCTGAATGCGCCGAATTGCGCCGAATTACGCCGGATGCGCTGCACTGCGCTGCATTGCGCCGAATTGCGCTGAATCACGCCGGATGCGCTGCACTGCGCTGCATTGCGCCGAATTGCGCTGCATTGCGCTCACTGCGCTGCATTGCGCCGGATTGCGCTGCATTGCGCCGAATTGCGCTGCATTGCGCCGAATTGCGCTGCATTGCGCCGAATTGCGCTGCATTGCGCCGACTTGCGCTGAATGCGCCGACTTGCGCTGAATGCGCCGATTTGCGCCGAATGCGCTGATTATATAAGGCTCAGATGATTACATATATTCACGGCAAGACACTTGTCGGGTTAAACCGACATGGGGTCGTCAATTCGCAGCATGCTTAAATTGTTGGGTTTGGGGGATATCGGGCTTGGGTGTTCGGTTTCTCGGCGGCGGGCTTATCGGGTCTGAGGACGCGTGGGTTTTCGGTAACTACATGGAGCATCAGGGACAAGGAAGACCACCTGTGAAGGGTGGGCATCGGCTAGTTTTTTTCTTTTTCGGGGGGGGCGGGGGGGGTCTCCACTCAGTTGGCATGGCTGACGCCACCTGGCTGTCGTCGCTGCAGTCTTCCACAGACCGGCATGAAGCACTTCGGTACAACGTGAACATTTTCGGTTTGGGAGGAGATTAGCTCAGAAGCAGAGCATCTGACGTCTGAGGGCAAAGAATTGCTTTGCTCCTTAGCATTTGAGGTGTGGGGATTATAGGGTTCAGGGTTTATATAGGTTTAGGGCTTGACGACATGCGCAAAGTGTGTTCAGGGTTCGGGAGGTTTTCATCTGCGCCTAATTATTGGGGAGCGCTGACAGTTGTTTTGCTTATGAGGGCGCTGACGGCCATTCTTCCTCCCAGAAACACCGGGCAGCAGCTGCCAACACTCTATTCGAACTTGAGTGCTTGTTTTTCATCCAGGGCGCCAATGGTAAGGGTGACTCCCGGCAAGTGTCGCAAGGAAACAGATGCATCCATTCTCAGATTGTTTTGCTGACTGGGGCGCGACTGTGAGATCAGTACTCTTCGACAGCGGCATGTATGAAGTGTTGAAACGCAACGAATGATGTACTGTCGAAGACGCACCAACAAGCAGAACAACCGCAGATAGTAAGCGAAGACGCACCAATAAGCAAAACAAGCGCACATAGAGTGAAGACGCAGCAGAAGCAGAGCAAATGCACATAGTAAGCGAAGAGGCACCAATATAGGCAAAACAAGCGCATATAGAGCGCAGACGCACCGATAAGTAAAACAACCTCACGTAGTAAGCGAAGACCCATGCAACAATAAGCAAATCAACCGCACGGAGTAAGCGAAGACGCACCAATAAGCCAAACAAGCGCACGTAGTAAGCGAAGACGCACCAATAAGCAAAACAAGCGCACATAGAGTGAAGACGCAGCAAGAAGCAAAGCAAATGCACATAGTAAGCGAAGAGGCACCAATATAAGCAAAACAAGCGCATGTAGAGCGCAGACGCACCGATAAGTAAAACAACCTCACGTAGTAAGCGAAGACCCATGCAGCAATAAGCAAATCAACCGCACGGAGTAAGCAAAGACGCACCAATAAGCAAAACAAGCGCACGTAGTAAGCGAAGACGCACCAATCAGCAAAACAACCGCACGTAGTAATCGCAGACGCACCCATAAGCCAAACAACCGCAGATAGCAAGCGAAGACGCACCAAGAAGCAAAACAACCGCAGGTAGTAATCGCAGACGCACCCATAAGCCAAACAACCGCAGATAGCAAGCGAAGACGCACCAAGAAGCAAAACAAACGCAGCTAGTAAGCGACGACGCACCAACAAGCAAAACAAGTGCATAATTCCCCCCTGTTCGGGGCTGGGAGAGGTGTGGTGCAGGGGGGACCCCCCCGAGAAAATGGGTCCGAACCTACATTTCCGGGTTTCCGGAAATAGGCCCGGGCCTATTTTCTTTTAGGGCGGTGGCTTGGGTATGTGAACCTTCGAGAATTCGTAGGAGGCTGTGGCTTCTTGTCATCCTTAGGCGTTGGCTGGGCAACACGCAGCGCGAAGAGCGTCAGCAGCGGCAGCGACCGTCAGCAAGGGACGTAGTTGAGGATCGGGTTTATCGGTCGGTGCACAGCAGGTTTCTTGGCGCGGGTTCAGCAGTGCGCCACGGGTTTATCGGGTTAAGCGAATCTATTTAGTCTGTCGGGCTTAGCGGGTATATCGGTGCGCCACGGGTTCATCGGGTTTAGCGGGTTTATCGGTGCGCCAAGGGTTTGTCGGGTTTAGCGGGTTTATCGGTGCGCCACGGGTTTGTCGGGTTTAGCGGGTTGATCGGTGCGCCACGGGTTTATCGGGTTTATCAGGTTAGTTTATCGGTGCCCAGAGGTTTAGCGGGTTTAGCGGGTTTATCGGCGCGCCACGTGCGGGTTTAGCGGGTATAGCGGGTTTATCGGTGCGCCACGGGTTTAGCGGGTTTAGCGGGTTTAGCGGTGCGCCACGGGTTTAGCGGGTTTAGCGGGTTTATCGGTGCGCCACGGGTTCAGCGGGTTTAGCGGGTTTAGCGGTGCGCCACGGGTTTAGCGGGTTTATCGGTGCACCACGGGTTTAGCGGGTTTAGCGGGTTTAGCGGTGCGCCACGGGTTTAGCGGGTTTAGCAGGTTTAGCGGTGCGCCACGGGTTTAGCGGGTTTAGCGGGTTTAGCGGGTTTAGCGGGTTTAGCGGGTTTAGCGGTGCGCCACGGGTTTAGCGGGTTTAGCGGGTTTATCGGTGCGCTACGGGATTAGCGGGTTTAGCGGGTTTAGCGGGTTTAGCGGGTTTAGCGGGTTTAGCGGGTTTATCGGTGCGCAGTCCCCGTTTCCGCGCGCAATGGCAGTGGGCGCGGGCTCCGGGACTGGATTCGAGGTCGAGTCCTCTGCGCCGAATTGCGCCGCTTTGCGCCGCATTGCGCTGAAATACGCCGGATGTGCTGCACCGCGCTGCATTGCGCCGAATTGCGCTGAATGCGCCGAATTGCGCCGAATTACGCCGGATGTGCTGCACCGCGCTGCATTGCGCCGAATTGCGCTGAATGCGCCGACTTGCGCCGAATTACGGCGCTGCACTGCGCTGCATTGCGCCGAATTGCGCTGAATGCGCCGAATTGCGCCGAATTACGCCGGATGCGCTGCACTGCGCTGCATTGCGCCGAATTGCGCTGAATCACGCCGGATGCGCTGCACTGCGCTGCATTGCGCCGAATTGCGCTGCATTGCGCTCACTGCGCTGCATTGCGCCGGATTGCGCTGCATTGCGCCGAATTGCGCTGCATTGCGCCGAATTGCGCTGCATTGCGCCGAATTGCGCTGCATTGCGCCGACTTGCGCTGAATGCGCCGACTTGCGCTGAATGCGCCGATTTGCGCCGAATGCGCTGATTATATAAGGCTCAGATGATTACATATATTCACGGCAAGACACTTGTCGGGTTAAACCGACATGGGGTCGTCAATTCGCAGCATGCTTAAATTGTTGGGTTTGGGGGATATCGGGCTTGGGTGTTCGGTTTCTCGGCGGCGGGCTTATCGGGTCTGAGGACGCGTGGGTTTTCGGTAACTACATGGAGCATCAGGGACAAGGAAGACCACCTGTGAAGGGTGGGCATCGGCTAGTTTTTTTCTTTTTCGGGGGGGGCGGGGGGGGTCTCCACTCAGTTGGCATGGCTGACGCCACCTGGCTGTCGTCGCTGCAGTCTTCCACAGACCGGCATGAAGCACTTCGGTACAACGTGAACATTTTCGGTTTGGGAGGAGATTAGCTCAGAAGCAGAGCATCTGACGTCTGAGGGCAAAGAATTGCTTTGCTCCTTAGCATTTGAGGTGTGGGGATTATAGGGTTCAGGGTTTATATAGGTTTAGGGCTTGACGACATGCGCAAAGTGTGTTCAGGGTTCGGGAGGTTTTCATCTGCGCCTAATTATTGGGGAGCGCTGACAGTTGTTTTGCTTATGAGGGCGCTGACGGCCATTCTTCCTCCCAGAAACACCGGGCAGCAGCTGCCAACACTCTATTCGAACTTGAGTGCTTGTTTTTCATCCAGGGCGCCAATGGTAAGGGTGACTCCCGGCAAGTGTCGCAAGGAAACAGATGCATCCATTCTCAGATTGTTTTGCTGACTGGGGCGCGACTGTGAGATCAGTACTCTTCGACAGCGGCATGTATGAAGTGTTGAAACGCAACGAATGATGTACTGTCGAAGACGCACCAACAAGCAGAACAACCGCAGATAGTAAGCGAAGACGCACCAATAAGCAAAACAAGCGCACATAGAGTGAAGACGCAGCAGAAGCAGAGCAAATGCACATAGTAAGCGAAGAGGCACCAATATAGGCAAAACAAGCGCATATAGAGCGCAGACGCACCGATAAGTAAAACAACCTCACGTAGTAAGCGAAGACCCATGCAACAATAAGCAAATCAACCGCACGGAGTAAGCGAAGACGCACCAATCAGCCAAACAAGCGCACGTAGTAAGCGAAGACGCACCAATAAGCAAAACAAGCGCACATAGAGTGAAGACGCAGCAAGAAGCAAAGCAAATGCACATAGTAAGCGAAGAGGCACCAATATAAGCAAAACAAGCGCATGTAGAGCGCAGACGCACCGATAAGTAAAACAACCTCACGTAGTAAGCGAAGACCCATGCAGCAATAAGCAAATCAACCGCACGGAGTAAGCAAAGACGCACCAATAAGCAAAACAAGCGCACGTAGTAAGCGAAGACGCACCAATCAGCAAAACAACCGCACGTAGTAATCGCAGACGCACCCATAAGCCAAACAACCGCAGATAGCAAGCGAAGACGCACCAAGAAGCAAAACAACCGCAGGTAGTAATCGCAGACGCACCCATAAGCCAAACAACCGCAGATAGCAAGCGAAGACGCACCAAGAAGCAAAACAAACGCAGCTAGTAAGCGACGACGCACCAACAAGCAAAACAAGTGCATAATTCCCCCCTGTTCGGGGCTGGGAGAGGTGTGGTGCAGGGGGGACCCCCCCGAGAAAATGGGTCCGAACCTACATTTCCGGGTTTCCGGAAATAGGCCCGGGCCTATTTTCTTTTAGGGCGGTGGCTTGGGTATGTGAACCTTCGAGAATTCGTAGGAGGCTGTGGCTTCTTGTCATCCTTAGGCGTTGGCTGGGCAACACGCAGCGCGAAGAGCGTCAGCAGCGGCAGCGACCGTCAGCAAGGGACGTAGTTGAGGATCGGGTTTATCGGTCGGTGCACAGCAGGTTTCTTGGCGCGGGTTCAGCAGTGCGCCACGGGTTTATCGGGTTAAGCGAATCTATTTAGTCTGTCGGGCTTAGCGGGTATATCGGTGCGCCACGGGTTCATCGGGTTTAGCGGGTTTATCGGTGCGCCAAGGGTTTGTCGGGTTTAGCGGGTTTATCGGTGCGCCACGGGTTTGTCGGGTTTAGCGGGTTGATCGGTGCGCCACGGGTTTATCGGGTTTATCAGGTTAGTTTATCGGTGCCCAGAGGTTTAGCGGGTTTAGCGGGTTTATCGGCGCGCCACGTGCGGGTTTAGCGGGTATAGCGGGTTTATCGGTGCGCCACGGGTTTAGCGGGTTTAGCGGGTTTAGCGGTGCGCCACGGGTTTAGCGGGTTTAGCGGGTTTATCGGTGCGCCACGGGTTCAGAGGGTTTAGCGGGTTTAGCGGTGCGCCACGGGTTTAGCGGGTTTATCGGTGCACCACGGGTTTAGCGGGTTTAGCGGGTTTAGCGGTGCGCCACGGGTTTAGCGGGTTTAGCAGGTTTAGCGGTGCGCCACGGGTTTAGCGGGTTTAGCGGGTTTAGCGGGTTTAGCGGTGCGCCACGGCTTAGAGGGTTTAGCGGGTTTAGCGGTGCGCCACGGGTTTAGCGGGTTTAGCGGGTATAGCGGGTTTAGCGGGTTTAGCGGGTTTATCGGGTTTATCGGTGCGCCACGGGTTTAGCGGGTTTAGCGGGTTTAGCGGTGCGCCACGGGTTTAGCGGGTTTAGCGGGTTTATCGGTGCGCTACGGGATTAGCGGGTTTAGCGGGTTTAGCGGGTTTAGCGGGTTTAGCGGGTTTAGCGGGTTTATCGGTGCGCAGTCCCCGTTTCCGCGCGCAATGGAAATTCACGCCGATGCTGTAGAGTCGGCTACTTCCAGAATTCTAGCCGTGTTGGCCGCTTCTTTCCCACATGCGCATTCATACAAGATGTCACTTCATTCCGAAATCATCAGGTGCTCTATTTGTGCCGGCACTGTTGTCCGAATGCATCAGGTGCAGAAGAAGGGCCTGGATGTGACCTGGTCAATCTGCCGCATGAGCTCGATTTCGGACTTTTTGCGGGGAAGCACCGCGTCTGCATCTGCCATCTCATTTGCACGCCCTGCTTGAGCAAGCAATCTTGCAGGAACAAGGGCAAGCCAATGTTTGCCAACCATTCTGCATCCTCACCTCCGACGCATGTGCAGACGGGGCATACTCGGACAATCTTGGACATGTAACATTTTGCTGAACATTTTGCAACATGGCCCATGCTCAGCAGCGTGCAGAAAATCGCAAAGCTTCAAGGGGATGGTCCTGGAGAGCGCGCTGCGACCTACAAGTACCAATACTAGCAACTTGAAGAGGCTGTCTTTTCAAGCTTTCCGAGATCCGAAACTCCTCCCAATCCTCATGCAGCTGCGCAGCTGCCACCTGGAAGCACACGTGAAGCACACCCTTCGAGAAGAGATTGGGCAGAGATTCCGTAATTTCCAGAGTCCAAGGCTGCAGCCTTCGGGATGCTCTCCGTCTCTATCACGACCACCAGGCCATGATCGTGGAGGAGCATTAAACTGACGATCGAAGCCGATCCGTAAGTGTCTCCAAGATTCTGCAGGCATTGCCTTCAAAGATGTTCTAGGGGGGTGCCGGCCTAGAGTCCGGCATCTTCGTCTCCTGTCATTGACACCCCCACCCCCACCCCAACATGTTATGTTCATGCGCAGTCTCGACCCTCGACGACAGCTCCAACATCCGCCGAGGCCTCGAGGCCTCGGGCCATAGGTGTATGGGAGCAGCTGGTACCCTGCCTCTAATCGTTTGCCAACACAAAGTCTTTGTTTAATTCATATTTTTCATTTTTTGTAACTGTTTTTCTGCTTTTGAATCGGTACAGGCATCCGGGAGCGGACGGCGCGGATGCATCAGCACCACCCCTGCCTGGCTGCCTGTACCTTCCTACCCCGCCCCAATCTATTCCATTTGGCGACAGCTACTTCCCCCCTCTCCCCTCCAAAGATCTTTCCTGGAAGTGGCGACCCTCGCCACTGCCATGGCCACCAGCCCGGGCTGAGGCGGGTCGCGAAGCGTTGTGGTTCATCTCATTCTCAAGTTTTCCTCGCCCCACTGAAGCTGCATCTGTAGCTTAGATCTTTCGTGAGGTTTAACAGCCGATGCATGTTGCAAATTCCGTGATCTGTTGTTGAACGTAGGCATTCGGCTTGCACTTGTTCCCTAAGCCTGTGAAAATCAGATGGTCCTGTGAGAGCTGCGAATTACCTGAGCTCGAGTTGGATGCTGCATCTGATGGCAAGTCTTCTTTGAAATTGCATTCCTGGGGGCGCGACAATGTCGAACGCGAATGACCGGAGTGGAAGATACCAGGAATGAGAACAGCACCTGTCTATGCAGCGAGAATGTGTAGCTCGAAAGCCACCGCTCCCTAGCTGCTGCTGGGCAGCCCTTGCTAGCCAGTAGCTGCATGCAGCTCAGCCTCGCACGACACCGTCGTGGGAAAAGAAGCTCACGCCACCATGCGCAAATCCCACACAAAGCCTGCAAGCGGGATGCGGGAAGGGTGAGATTCTGAGCCTCGTGTCGGCAAGCATCTTCGAGTTCCAAGGTGGCTGCAGCCAGCTTTCTAAACACATCAAACACATCAAGCACCAAGCACAAGACGATACAAGACGAAGCTCTGTCATAGCAACAGGCCAGATGGTGATTGCACGGCAGGCTTTTGAGTCAAACCAGAACTTATGTCGTCTCAGCCGGCCATCAGAAGACATCTTAATCAATCTGGAAATATCTGGAACCAAACTTTTTGGAGCATTTTCTGAAAGCGATTAATTAGCTGCTTTTGGGGGGCAAGGTGCGGCCGCTGTCAGCTGACTGATGGGGATGCGGCAGGGGATTTCCACCAGCACCAAGATCCGGTATCCATGCCTCCGCGGATGGAAATTTCTGAGGCCAGATGAAAAAGTACCATGCGGCACCTTGCACCTTCGCGGTGACCTCTGCACCATTGTTATGTGTAAGTGCCAGGCCAGGCATGTTGCAGCACCTCCAGAGATCACATTTGTGTGCGCGCATGGCGAAAAAACACGGGCAAGTTCTGCTGCAACAAGTATTTTGAAAGTGCGTAAAAGATGGGTGAGTGAATCGGGGCGCAGTACATCCATGTTGACTCCCATTGTCATTTTCCAGGACGATGCTATGCTGTCACTGGCCCACTGCGGAGGCTACTTGTGCCGAGGTCCGACGATTGATTGTTTAGGGCTGCAGAGGAGCCCTTTAGATATATTGAGATACTTGAGCCGAGTCGGGAAGTTCTGGAAACTAAAACGTTGCGGAACACACAAGGTGTGTTGCTAGGTCTGGGTGTGTAAAACAATCTCGGTACTAAACGACCATCGTTCTCACTAAAGACGGGCTGTGAAGTACCTTCCATTCTCTGAAGGGCAAGCCCCGCTCTTGTCAAAAACCCTAAGGCCATCTAAGGCCCTACGAGTAGGTTTTTGGGACAAGGGCGTGCCGAGTCGAGAGGGCCGTCCGCGCAATGATCGTGCAATGCATTGTGAACTGGAAAAAAATCTTTCAAGGTCGCATCACAACAAGTCATAACAAGTCGCCGCAAGCATATCGCCGCCCCCCCCCCCCCCCCCCCCCCCCCCGAAAAAAGCAGGAACTGGCCAAGAAAAGGGTTTGGGGAGCCGGCACTGCTCGGCCGCAGCCCGGAGGTGCGCCAGCAGCTTGAGGTGCTGCGCCGGGCTGGCAGCGAGGAGGCGTGCCCAGGTGCACCAGCAATCAGGGCACAACTGGTGCGCTGAGGAGGAGTTGTTGTAGCCCCGATGTGGACACACATGCCGCAGGACTGCAGCAGATGCGGGACTCAACGGTGTAGAAGTAGAGGCACATCCATGCAGCAGCCAGTTGGGAAAGCGATGAGGTAACTGAGGACAGAGAGCGGGGCGGAGGAGAGCAGAGGGGAGAAGAGGAAAGGCATAGCGAACTGGGGGTGGGGGGGGGGACTGAGGCTGGCCAGCTTTGCCAGGGGCAGGAAAAGGCTCAGTCAAAGGAAAGGGCGAGGGCCCAGAGAATCCGTGGTGGACAGCAGCACCTTGTACTAGGCATGGCGGTGGCGGGGAAAAGTCTAAAGCAGTATATACTTGGAACTGAAGAGACTGGAGAACCATAACCTGGGCAAATCGATCAGGGGTGAGCTCTGATTGCAGAAGGCTGTCTGCATCGTGAGGGGGGGGGGGGTAAGGGGGGGGGGGGGGAGGGCAGGCGTCTTGGTGCTGAAGAGGCCTCCACTGCCGTGACCTTGGCAGAGATGAGGGAGCTGTGGACCGGAACCACTGCAGGAGGCGCTTTGCGGCAGGAACAAGCTCAGTTCCACCTCTGGGGAGGACCTGTTGTGCACACTTACCTTGTGCCTTGTCGTGAACCTGCTGAGACATTGTCACAGACGCTGCAGCTCAGTGAGACAAACACACACTCTTTCCCCTTCATTCCCCTTCCGGGGGAATTCTGAGACACCACCTGCATCGGACAGCATTGAAATGAATGTGTGTAAGACTGGCGCAGCCATCTGATTCGGCAATTTCCAGGCGCAGTCTGCGGCAATCCTCCTGACAAGCACGTCTCGGGCAGAGGTACGTCGATGACATTGCACGAGCCCTGAAGTCTGGGCAGAAACCTTGACTTTAACACCAACGAAGTGGGAGACCAGGGGAGAAGGAGCAGACCCTCACCAGGAGCATGAAGGGAAGTCTCCTTTGATACCCTGATTATCCTGATTACCCTGTCGGGATACTGACTGTATTCTCTTTTTCCATCCCCCGAGCTTCAAGCTGTTGGCATGTTGTAATGTTGGGGTCAGATTGAGACTCTTGCTTGGCGTGGGGCTCTCTCCAAGGCCCTGCTGCTGATTCTGAGGGTTAGGGTGTGAAAATTCACCTTCTGCTTGACGCTTGACTCTGACAACGCCTTTGACTCCGCCAGTATGTCGAACACCTGGCACTGGTCATGTCGGATCGGGCCGCTTTCCGCTGCTCTGGCACATTCAGGCCTATCGGCCCATTCGTGCTGTCCAAGCAGGCAAGAGGCACCAAGAAAAGGCCATCCTGGCAAGATCCTGCAACTATGCAGACTGAGGAAAAACCATGACCCATCATGAGCCTCCGAAAGCCAGGCAATCACGATGCCGGCCTTCTCCTGCAACATGTATGGTCATGCAAGGCTCATACACTTCGCGGGTATGCATTCAATGATATTCAATGTCATCGGGCCGGGCCGGCAGCTCGAAAACCGAAGCGATCGCAGCGAGATCCTGGTCCTGAATGCAACACCCTGGAGCGGAGACTCTGACCCGAAGCTGGTGATCATGGTGTCATAGTCCTTGTCATCCTTGACCAGCGAATGGCCTCAGTCTAGGCATCAAGTCCTCACCTGCCTTTTCGGTACGTGGTTCGATCTAGGTCATCTCAAACCCAAACCTGCCTTGTCGGAAATGGCATGGGCTTGTCGTTACATCCGCCGACCCCCCGCAATCGTTCTTTACTCCCTACCCCCTTCAAAACTGTTGGGGCGCAGCCCTGGATTCCGTTTTCCCGCCTTCACCCCCTCCTCTTCCCTCTCCTAGCCTGAATTATACACAATCCTCGTCACACATGCTCGCGAACGCTCGCATGCTTGACGAATGCTTGGCTCTTTCATTCTGATGGTATGCTACGGCTGTTGAGGCCTGCACCCAGTGCTTGCAACATCGCACGCAATCTGTCATCCGGGGTCCATCGCTACCTTCGGTGGGCGAAGGTCAACTCAGAATCGAACAGGACCAGAAGCCATTCCCATCACACTCGCTTTTTGACTCCACTTCAATCTACGAAGCCTGCAAGTCTGAGCCTTCACCAAAACCGCGAAGCGGATGCTGCGGTCCAAGCTGTTCCAAATTGCTAGGTGATGTTGAGTCATATTGAATCCATCGAACATGCGCCGGCCGCAGAGAAGCACATGCACAAAGCAGCCATAGCTCTGGAATGCTCTGAATCTTGGCATTAAGGCGGCCGAGCATGTGAACCTCGCTCACTCAGCTCGTTCAGGCTGCGTATGGGCTGAAAGTGAAAGGAAAGGCCTGCACGCGGCATGACACGTCTAATGCTGGTCGAGGGAAGATGCGCGAATATGCGCAAGGATGAGGGGCCTTGTTGTAGGAGAATAAGCGAGCCTTGATCCAGGTGTGCATCACAGCCTCCAAGATTTACGGTTTGTCTTAGCATGGCTTTTTGCGGTAGTGTAGCAGCGTGCCATCGGCATGGTATGTTCATCGGCCTGTCGGCCGTCTGTGCTCTGCGGTGGCCGCGGGATGAGGGCATTGAATGCATAGTCCACCTGCAGAACCCGCAGAGACTACCAAAGCTACAAGGGCCTCTGGAGGGCGCTTGCGAGAACCTTGCACGACCTTGTGATGCGCTTAGTCAAGCGGCAGCTGCTTACAGAGGCAGCGTTTAATTGCGATCAGTGGTAATTGGACACGGCAAGCGAAAAGACTCAGCAGCCCGATAGTCATGCAGGATAGTGGAGAAGTTTACCGGTACTTCCGCGAATTTCTGAGTATGCTTCTTGCGCTACGTCAAGGAGATCACGAAGCTAAATGTCGTTCAATGACATAAGCGCAAGATACCTCAGATGAAGCATGGCATGATCATGTTGTGGTTGCCGCACCTGTTCAAGACCTTGCGCGGACCTTGGGGGGGCAGATGGGGGCAGCTCCGCAGTCCCTGCAAAAGTGGGGTTTTCGCACGCTGAAAGTGCAAACAAAGTCTTTCGCCGCTACTGTCCGAACTTTCGCGGGGCCTGTGTTCATCCTGGATTCAAGAGCAACCCCCAAGCATAACATCAGAGCTGTTGCAGAAAGCACAGAGTCCTTGACAATATCTTTCGCCAGTCTGTCGCAGACCACTATGCACGATGACCAAGACGATGACATATCTGTAGTGTTGTATAAAGTCGACGACTACATTGACCTCGACCTTTTGCACAACCGTGCTTTCTGCCTTGGCACGCTCCTCCCCGGAGGACTTGAGATATTCTGGCAATGCGGCCTGGTATGGAGTGCAGAATGACAGCATTGACCGAAAGCGAGTGTTTGCAGATGCCGAGCTTCACGAAATTCCGCAAGCCAACTGTTGTTGGTTCACAGCGCAAGTAGTCAGAAGTGGGTCACAAGTCAGTGCTTGATCGCCATGCATCGTGCTTCCTGACTTCCTGCATGCTTGGACCTTGGCCCTGCCTTGACGGTAGCATCATCCCATGACATTGCTGCAAATGCACCATCCATGGCCTTGCTGACCGCAAGAGCACAGAATGCACAAAAAACAGGTCTCATATGGTCTCATAGAAAGATCACGGAGGCCTTTGTCTCCCGCCAGTCCGCAGCTGTCTCATAGGCGGCCATCATCCTGGCATGCGGCGATGATGGCGATGTGCAGCCATTAAGCTTGTGATTTTGTAATATTTTGTAGACACTTCAGATCGCTCGATTCGCTCAGGGCTCGGCTTGAGATCCGAGATCAGGCTTTGCACTGCCTTTGGCTCTTGGCCCGTCATCACGGCTTCAACCTAGCGGTGCACCAGAAGCCGGCGTGCGTCCAGCGACTTTCCCGCCCATCCCGCATGCCTGTGAAGTCATCGCAGGCTGTCCTCGAGTCTATCGAAGCTGTTGCCACTTTCACATGTTACACTCGTGAGGTCACATCTTCAAGAACTCAGGAGAGCGCAGCAACCGCAAAGTCAATCGGGCTGCCTTCTTTTCAATGCAAGCTGGAGCCGAGGGGCCGCAGAGCAAGCTGCAAAGCTATGTTTTGTGATGCCACAAAGGAGTCGTCATTTGTGTCTGGTCAACAGCTGCACATGTACTGCGATGAAAGCCACCTGGAAGGAAAAAAACTCAAATGTCTTTAGGCTTCGAAGGCTTCAGACTACGGAATGTCTCCAGCCCAGACCCGAACTTGGAGTCAAACTCTACAAGTACGAGGGATGCGCGGAGCGGCAAAAGACAACAGAAACAGCAATCGACGAACATGAATGCCTATGGCTGGATCTTGGGCATGGTCGCGTGCGATTCTGCACTCAGACCGAGCGCAAAGCAGACCCTGGCGGCATAATGTCCGCTCAACCTAGTCTGATTGCTACATCACAGTCTGGCTAAACAGTTCCATGCACAACTTGATCACTGTTGGCAATGCCACCCTAGCGCGCGTTCAGTCCCTTCAGTGAGGTATGTTGAGGTGCGTCGTACATGCTTCTGACTACTGGGCGAGCCAGAGCTGCTGGAGCACAAGCTGTCACAAGCTATCAACGAACCGGCGCAGGCCAGGTCGAGGCGTTGAGTTTGGCAGAAGGAGGGGCGCGTTCTCCTTCGCCAACGTTTCAAGCACAATGCATGTGTCCAGGCGCGCATCTGTGATCGGAATCACAGCACCTGGTCAAGGACAAAATCGAACCGTGCTGACGCTTGGCTACCACTTGGCTACCACTTGGCTCCACTTGGCACTTGGCTGCCACTTGGCTACCACTGGCACACATCACCCCGTGGTTTCGCCTGCTGCTGTAGGAGCTTGGACCTGAGCTGTCGGCTACGCATGGCCACGACCATCATGCCCATGGGATGCAACACAGGAAAGAAGTGGGAAGAAATGGGAAGAAGCTGCTTTTGCGCTTCTGTTGCACTTCCATGAGTTGGTTCATCTCGCGCAACTTTGCCACTTGGGACGTCTTACGGTTACAAGAGAGTACGTGAACGTCATGAACCGAGGTCTGGAACCGTTAACCTGTTCAAATTTCTTCTCAATGTACAAAGTAAACCGCTCAGGGGTCTTCCCTGCTAACTGTCGATGATCCGAGGTTTCAATACGATTCAATACGACTCTAGATGTCGCTTGCAGTAGAGGATGTTGCAGGAAGACTTGAAGTTGCGTGTGTGATGCCAATCGTTGGGTCGGCACAGGGACCCCAACACATTCCTGTTGCAAAGGGAGTGACTTGGACATGTTTTGCTTGCACGTTCACTGAGACAGACGTTCATGTTGTTGCGAGGTTTGGTAAGCGGGGCCCCTTGAGGACGCCCTCCTACGGTTCCCCAAGTACTTTCTGGATGCCCGAGCATCCCCTGCGACACCCAAGCCCACAGTATGGACCCCAAGACCCGGCTCCAGAGCCTAAGACCTCTGTTGATGTGCCTCTTGGTTGCCGTTCTCCGCTTCTGGACTCTGCTCTCTCCTCTTCTGAGGCAGAAAGAAGACGGGATGGCGATGCAAGCTATTTAGGAACCACAAATCTTTTAACTTTGCGTTCTGAGGGCTTGGGGTCCGGGAAGGCATGCCTTATGCCTTATGCAAGCCACAAACCACCACCGAGCCTGCCGGCCACGGCCCATGCCACAGAGGCAGCCCCCGCACAGACTCCCAAGTGAATGCCCCGTACCAGTACTAGGAAGCCCTCAAATCCCAAAGCCCTACAATGCCCTCCTCTGGAGAGGAATCATCGCTCAGCTTCACGTGACTCACGTGCTCTGGGCAGATCGAGGTCACAGCAGGAAGAAGCGTATGCAAAAGGCTTGAGGTCGGCATGTACCTGAACCCGATGTTGGGCTCTGCTCTACTTTTCTTCTACTCTTCTACTCCTCTCAGCTACGTCATGCCAGCTCACATTGCAGTGCTGCGAAACCCCAACATAGCAGCACGCCCAGCTTGATATGCTTGCTTTCTGAAGTTTTCTGAAAGGCCTGCTACTCTTCGGTGCACAAAGAATGTCCCCGGGCACTTCTTGGCATGGAAGCAGCGAATCGTCAGGGCGATCAAGTCACGGGCAGTACGCGTGAGCGCCATAAGGTGGAATGTCTTCACTTCGCTCATCACCAATTGGAACTGCCGCATACAATGGAGCATACAATGCCGCATACAAGGGCTACTATAGTGGCGATATCGAGATACAACGAAATGATGAAACATCACCTGCCAGCCTTGGTTGTATCCAGAGGGTGGATAATCACCTTTGGGTATTCGGACGAGTACCTCGCTCAGGAGCGGACTGAATCGGACTACCAACATCCTATGAATGGAACAGACCCAGAAGGAGTCTTCATTAAAGGAGCACTCTGCATAGACTTCTCGGTTTTCACGGCCTAGGCATCGCAAATAAAACAGGTTCGATGGCTCACTATGCCTAAAAAGCCCACAAACCCACAATTCCATTCCGCCCGCACAGCGGCGATGGAGCAGGTGAGCACTAAGGTGGTGTCTTTGATAACCACTTCCGATAGCTGTGACCTTAGTGCTGAATGCTGCTCAACTTGAGCATGGAGAACTGGACCACTGCTGTTGTGGCACACGCACCCCCTCTGCGGACACTTGTATTGCAAGGTCCTGCAGGGGCTCTTGTTAGACTCTTGCTCGCATCTCATCTCTTGACTTGCTCTGGGTGGTCTGCTGCAACGGATAGAACAGGAACAGGATGCATTCACCCTTCACAGATTCACATGTCAACTCCTGCCGGGTGCTTCCAGGAGTTTCTCCGGGAAGCTTTGATTGCATGACCGCAAACCTGGCGAGTCAGGAAGGATGTGCAGACTCAAATATACACCATCCTGCCCGACAAGTTAATTAAGTCCCAAGTACTTTACTTTGCAGATGTTTCCACGAACCTTGGCAGTGTGTGTGATGCACGCTCGTTGTACCTTTCCGGCTGTCCTTTCTTCCCCAATCTGCCCCGTTGTCTCTTCCCTTTCGGCTACTGTACCTAGCGTTTCCTGCTTCCTAACCCCCCCCTCCCTGACCCGGCACTTCTTCGCTTTCGTCTTCATGGAGCCTGTCGTGAAAACCTTGCCTCGCGACTGAAAGTGGCGGCAGGCCCCGGCCGAGGCAGGTCGAGTAGCGTTTAGATTAGGCGTACTGACACTCCGTTTGAGGAAGGCTCTGTATTCAACAAATTTCAACAACCAGTGCTACCAGTGTCTGACAGCACAGCGTCTACAAGTAAGCTCAAGTTTTGGTGTTGCCGACGTCGCCGTCCATCTGAGTCCATATAATCAGGGTGAATCAGAATATGACAAACGCGAGAACTGCCGACATGTTATCTGAATTCCCCTCCACCCGGCCTGCTTCCTCCCAAACCCAGTGCGTTGTCCAGGCTGCGTCTGGTCGCTGGGTCGAGTTCGAATGGACCGATCTGCAGCATTTGAATGTCCCGACTGTTGTAGGTTCCGACCATAGCCATAGATTCGACTTTCAAAGAAGACATGACAGACCGTCCGCCTCTCCAATGACAGTTCCATGATGACCATCATCCGCATCTGCTGGCTGCGCCTGCTGCTTCGCAGGCCAAAAAGTATTAGGATGGGTCTTGGGTATGCGTTGCGACAGCTTACTGTCGGCCCGCATGTACCTCTACGGATATATCAGTCCCAACATCATCAGCTGAGATTTGGTACCTGGGCAAGCCGCTCATTGTCGAATCGCTTTCCTTGGGCCCTGGGGGGCAAGCATATTTGAAGTGACTCCAGGAATTTCCACAGGGAGGTCCCCAATCTTGCGCTTCCATCTGCATCTCAAAGGCACCTTAGCAAACGCACAGGCAATTGGCATGATGGAGGGATGTCACCATAACCAACAGCTTAACAAAGGGACTTGCAAGCACGTTTTCCCACGAGCACCTGTCGACTTCTCAAGCTACAGCTACAGCTACTACTGCTACTACTGCTACTACTACTACTACTACTACTACTACTACTACTACTACTACTACTACTACTACTACTACTACTACTACTAGTACTAGTACTACTAGTACTAGTACTACTAGTACTAGTACTAGTACTACTACTACTACTACTACTACTACTACTACTACTACTACTAATACTACTACTACTACTACTACTACTACTACTACTACTACTACTACTACTACTACTACTACTACTACTACTACTACTACTACTACTACGACTCCTACTACTACTACTACTACTACTACTACTACTACTACTACTACTACTACTACTACTACTACTACTACTACTACTACTACTGCTACTGCTACTGCTACTCCTACTACTACTACTACTACTACTACTACTACTACTAGTACTACTACTACTAGTACTACTACGACTACCACTACCACTAGCACTACCACTACCTACTACTACTACTACTACTACTACTACTACTACTACTACTACTACTACTACTACTACTACTACTACTACTACTACTACTACTACTACTACTACTACTACTACTACTACTACTACTACTACTACTACTACTACTACTACTACTACTACTACTACTACTACTACTACTGGCTGGGCATGCTGCGCAATACCACGTGTACTACATATGAACTACAATTGCACTGCATACAGGATTCTCTCTATCGTCTTGACGTGCGAACCAAAGACAAAACATTCCTACGAGCAACATGAGGGTGCAGTTTTCTCGTATCGAGACGTATCGAGACGTACTGGGGCAAGCGCTCTGCAGCTGGTAGCGTCTGGTAAGACGAGTGAGGGCCGACGTGTCTATTTGCTGTGCAGTCGCTTTTGCTGCGCAGGAGCTTCTTGCTGATTCTCGGTCTCTTGCTTGCTATGTGGTCCGTAATGCGCTAAAATGCGCGATACCACCGCAAAACAAAAACACTGGGTCACCTCGGGCGTATTCTGTTGCGCGGCCGCTCGCGTTTGTAAGGCAGGTCTCTCTTTTTGCTGTGGGTTCCTTCCGTCTGCAGGGGTGCTTCTGGTCGCTTTGGCCAAAGACGTTGAAAAGACTGGAAGCAACACTCCAGCACCGGCTAGAAGCCTGTATACGCTTCGAGAAGAAACTCTCACTGGACGTGTAGAAACAGAACGACTAGAAAACACGGCAGTGTCTACTGGTTTGGGCTCAGCTTTCATCGCACTGCTGACTGTTCCTGAAGCAGATAATGTGAGCACGCATGAGCACACTTGCATCTACGTGTTGTGCCAACTTCGCAGTATGTGGACCACAACAGACGAGCTGGATGACTGTTTCAGATGACAGAATCTGAAGCTACTCTATGCCAAGGCTTGACTGTCCGTGCTAGCTTGAGTGACATGTGTTTTCTGCTCAGGGCAAACCTGAGGTGAGACGCTGGGGAGCATCAGTGTTGCGCGACCTAGTTGTGGCTGATGTTCCTTGGCGACACGATGCTGCCGTGCAAACTGTGCCACACACACACACAGCTACAAGCTTCCCAAACCTTCACGAGGCTCGCCCTTTCCTTGCGGTCTACTGCTAGTCTCTGATGCGACGAGGGCTGTGTGAACCCAATTGATTTGGACCCCAACCTCGGACGAGTTCGCATTTCTCAGAGACCGAGGTACGGCCCTTAGTCGCTGGTCTGGGACTCTTGCTTGGCAATGCGTGCCTTCCACAACGAAAAAGCAAGAAGTCCTCGTGGTGACCCCATGAAGCCAACATGGGCACGTGGCAAGAGGAGTATGTGGTGTTGCCTACAGCCTAGTCGCTCAGGGTCGCTCAGGGTCGCTCTGTCTGGATTCGTGCAGAGCACAATGGAGCACAAGAACTACATGGAAGAGTATGGAAGTGCACAGACTTACACAGCGCGTATGAACGTGTGATTCTCAAGGCCTCGATCCGAGCTTTTGCCGCAGCGGCGCGCTTGCGCTCTTCGTCCACCCAGTCCAAGTCGTCCGGACGAAGCTGTCACTCTTACACCATCGAACATGATGGAACACATGGAAAACATCAACAGGTGAGGCAAAGTTTCAAAACAAGCCTTGTAGACAGTGAAGGCAAACTCTGCAAAGCAGAAGCTGACAACTCCAAGTCCCATAAGAAAGTTCCTGATGCCAAAGAGGGCAGCGCAGATTACTGCAACCTAAGCAAGACTGAGCATTTGCATCCCGGGCCTGAGTTCAACTGAATATCTGGCAGGCTTGCCCATCATGAACTGATGATACCTTGGAGGTGCCGAGTAGTGGACATTGCAAGATGCATTCATGGAGCTGGGGCGCTGTTCCCTTGGAATATCAAGTTGTTCAGGAGCTCCAACAGGTCTGACGTATCCTTCCAGTGTGGGGGCCTGAGCCAATCACATGAACCAGTCGCTAACCCAGACAGAAACTCGCGCAAGCAAAGTTTTGTCACTGGCCTTTGGTCGGTGCAGCTCTACCTCTTCCCAAGTCTCCAAAGGCCTGCTGCAGGCATGCGTAGTACCGGTGACAATCGAAGTGGACATCGCAGAACGAAAGAAGTTACGAAGGCAAATGCTACACTACATGGCTGCATTTGGCCTGTGACCTGAAATTTTTCCCCGTTTTGTATCGACGAGATCTTGTAACTGCCTTTCGGATGTTCTGCCTACAGCTGCAGGCCTGCGATGCAGCACCTCCCCAAGCCCGTGTAGCACCATGCTGGGCAGCAGTAGATTTTTGTATCTTACGCATACCAAACGTACAATTTGCAAGCCTCCAATGAGTCTCAGTGCACAACTTGAGATGCAAGGTTGCAAAATGTTGCAATCAGGGCTGAGGCTCGCGGAAACGTCATAATACTTGAGACGGGCCTCGGTGCAGAGGTATTCGAAGCCTTTCGCAGGAAAGCACACCTTAGCTGCAGAATGCTGCAGGTGCTTCGAGAATCTAAAGCCGTTTCTGTTCGTGTCGTGCCAACTGCAGCGTGGAGCAGACGCAGATTATCGCAGAGTGCATGTCTGTGAGGGGGTCGTGAGTGCGTGAAACGGTGATCCCAAAATCCCAAACACGCCTGCATGGAGCCCAACTTGCATGCGAGCTCATGCAACAATGGTCATTTGGGCACCGCACAAAAAACTGTGAAATCCATGACGATAATGTTGCACTATGCACTCGGTAACCAGGCTGCTGCTGCCGGGACGACGAGCACGACGCACCCTGCATGTGAGACAACGGAACATGAAACCCCTGGTGCCTTCACCACTTCGAACCTCCAAGCCGCGCCCGCAATTGTCCACACCAACCCCTATGGTATGGACAGCTGCTTCGCAAGCTAAGCAGTCGCGACACACCAAAAGCAGAAGCCATCCAAGCCATCGCTTCAGCCTTCAACCTCTCGGTCTCGCTGTATGCCAAAGGCAAATGAGACGGCCTTTGGTGCCCGTTGTCATGACCAGAGCACAGAGAGGTGCAAAAGCGCCCTGTAATGCTATTTATAGCCGGCAGCCGGCACGGCGGGGGGTCTTCGATGGTCTGCGGCGAGCGGCTTTCATTTCAGATTTCGAAAAATGCCTAAGGGCCCAAGCAAAGTGCTGCAAAGTGGTCTGGACAAATCAGCTTTGCGCGGGGCAAGACCTCCGCGCGTCAGCATTCGATAATTCAGTACTTAATCGGTGTGAGTAGTCAGACGAGCACTCGTAGCACGAGTGGTGACAGCTTAACTTGGAAGAGTAGCACATGCTGTCGTGGTCCATACTCAGGGAGCCTTAACTGATCACCTCTGCAGCGCTGACCGTCATCAACTTTGCGTCGGGGCTCAGGCGCGAAAGGTTCTGCTGGCACTGCTGAGCCGCTAAGCATTCAGCGTAGCAGCATGTGTGCGTGTGAGCGCGTGCCTACGGGGGCTGTGATGGTTGGTTCATATAACGTGGAAATGAGATTGCCTGCTTCACCACCGAACATTTTGGGCGAAAAAAGCACCTCAGACATTTTCTTCGGGCCCCAAACTCAGGCTTGATCAGTTGCTTCAAGTTGCAAAGCAAGTTGCCACACCAGCGATAGAAGCTATGTTGCCATATGTCATGGCACAAGCAGTTCTGAGCCACTCACCTGATCGTTCGCGAGGACCCTGCCTCTCTTGACAAGAAGCCCGGCAGGATGACGCACAAACAAAGCGTTTGCTTGCTGGTTGCTTGCTGGGTGCTTGCTGTTTGCTTGCTATTTGGTGCTATTGCTTGCCCTATGTCACTCCGACCACATGACTTTGTAGAATAAAACAAGGACAAGCTGTGGCTGTGGTGCCAGGGTCAGGGGATGATTGCAGCAAGTTTTGAACTCCAGCTTGATACCCAATGACCCAGCCACAATCCGCATGCGGAGCTTGCACCAGCCCCAGCATTGCTTGGAGGCCTGTCGAAGGCGCGAAGGAAATCGCAGAGGAAACATGGACACCTGGCACAGCGCACACACAGCATTGCTTGGATGTCGTGGTTCAAGGTCATGCCATGCTCTTCACCCACCTGGCGTATGCTGACGTCCTCGAAGATCGAATCTAATCACGAAAGCTGATGAGCGCGACGGCTGCAGCCCAGGCTAAGACAAATGGTTGCTCTGCGTCCGTCCCTGATTCTCGACCACATTGCTTCCCTACCCCTTTCTTTCTTGGGCTCTCGGGGCTTGAGCAAGGTGCCGACGAACGGCCTAGAAAGCCAACTCCTGAGTGGGACCGATGCAGAAACATGCCTTGATATTCATGGCTGTCCACATTATCACCAATAGGAGAACCTAAGCTAATGGGTGAAGGGACCACGAGGACCCAGAATTTTGATCTACACCCGCCCACTTGAAACTCAAGAGCTTTGCCAAACCAAGGTAGAGAAGACGGAGCACACAACGTGGCCGTTGCCAGTCAGTACGGCTTGGACCAGAAGGTGCACTACACACGCGCGACAACATGAAGACTAGTGTAGTATGCATGTAGCTTGTGAAGCCAGTGACAGTGCATGACAGCGTGCGGTCCGATGATTGACTCCGTTGGACGAAAGCTGGACTTCGTTCATTGACTTCCTCAGGCTGAGGCCGGAAGCCCTCCAGGGCTCGTCTCTGCCGATGCCACCAGCACGCCGGTCTGTCCAGGACAAAGTTGCAAAGCTTGTAGCTAGATCTTGGTAGGAGTTATAGACTGCACTGCTGCTACAGGCTGCAGGCTTGTAGCAACTCCTGGATTTTTGCCGACTGCGTGCAGCCACACAGCCTGGAAGTAGCCACCGCCTTCCAAACGAAACCTCAGAAGCATGCGGCGATGCGTGCAGAGAGCCCGACAAGAAGGTAGCTTGACCAGGAACGATGACACGCACTGTCAAAGCTCAAGGCTTGAAGTGATAGTTGCATTCACCTCTCACGCTGCCCAGCAAGTAATCCTGGATGCACACGCATGCCAAATTGTGGCATGCTTCTGCGCAGCATGACCCTGCTTTTTTGGATTCTTACTATTAGCATTTGCCAGGAAGTGACAAGGAGAGCGTTCATGCGCCCTCAGTGTAAGAATCTCCAATAAGGGCCGCTGCAGACCTACGTTGGAAGACAAAGACTTGGGTCTGTCTAGTATGTAGCCACATGTAGCCACATAGCCAAAGATCACAATTGTGCACTTGTGCCGTCGCTCCTCTGGCTGCTCAGCACGGGCCAACCACCTGATTGGACTCAATGAATTGACTTGTTTGGACTTCGTTGGCCCAGATTTCTCCAAGGGCCTCTTTGGAAGCTCATTCAAGTTCTCCCGTAGTCTCTGAAGGCTGGCACTGTCCTGGCAGGCAAACATGCAGCATGTACTACATGTACATGCACATGTACATGTACATGTACATGTACATGGTACATGTACATGGTACATGTACATGTACATGTATATATATATATATGTATATGTATACGTAACACACACACAACTATGTGTACATGTGTATATACATATATATATATATGTGTATATATATATATCTCTCTCTCTTTAGTTTTTTATTTATTTACATGTGTATAAATATACATATACACAGAAACATGAAGCAGCTTCGGGGTGCTTAAGCGCGCCAAAGCATCATGTAATGAACTCGTCAGGTCTTTGAGCGTCTGCATTAGCAGAGACTGCACGATCGTGTAGCGAAGCCCTCATCTAGCACGCAGCCATGGCATCAACTTGACTGCACAGGCTGTGCAATGAACATCAATATGTTTTTTGGGCACATGAATGCACTTGATATGGCTCATGGAAGCCGACGGACTACTGCGACTGCCTCTTCACATACTTTCATGCCAGAGACCTCAGGGCATGTCTGAAACTCCGCTGTGTTTAAGGAACATCCATGAACCTCCAAGCCAGAAGGCTTTCATCAACATGGTGCCAGCGACTGCTTACTCGACAGCTGCTCGCATTTGTCCCTTCCGTCACAGCACTATGCGCTCTGAAAGATTCGATTTCCCTTGGGCTTCAGGATGCGAAGCGACGCGGTCGATGATGTCTTTGTGCCTACACTGGAAGCATGCGTGGCCAGCCGCGAACACGATAACAGGTTCAGCCTGGCAACTTGTGCCCCAGTTCGGCCAGATTCATCTGACCATCACGGGCTCAGCGTTGGGCTGGTGGGGTGGGGAGGGTGCAAACACTGCAGAGCTGTGATTATACGTGGTGAAACTCTGATGCAGCATGGACATTGCACCTTGGTGTTCAAATGCCTGGACCACCCAAGAGTGCAGAGCTTGCATTGGTAATTTGTTTGGCGGCTTGCAGGATTCTACAGGGAGAGTTGGCGATGGTGACCACATGGAACACACGAACTTGGGCGATGCACTCCAATGCAAGAAAGGTCAAGGGTTGCGCCAGAGCCTTCTATGTGAAGCTGCTTGCATCTTCAGCGAACATGTCTTTGCTGACAGTCGCCTGGGACCCTTGCATGCACGGCATCAGGTTCGGAAAACATCATGCCTGCACGGCGCAGTCTCTACAGTCTTGGAGGCTTTTCAGTCAGCATCCCCATTGAGAGTGGCTGCCATGTTCTCCATGAAGTCCTCCGACTCAAAGCCTGCAGTTGCACCACAGGTCTGCTGCAGATCACTGCAACATGTGGGCACTGAAATCCACTGAGTATGCAAGCTGATGTCGAAATCTCTTGCGCAAACGACAATTTGCTGGAGCCACGAGGTGAGAACCTGCACGAAGTACGCTGAGTCATGTTCGCAAATTGCGTTTCGCAAAACACTCAATCACAGTCGGTGGTGGGGCACTTGCAACTCTTCAGTGAGATTCTGCACTGACGGGTCAGACCTGCCAAATGGGTCACCAAGCAACATCCGCCATGAGACGGCCAAGGCAAATGCAGTTAGGGGCCCAGCATCAGCTTGATGGTCTTGCAGAAGCTGCCAGCCTCCTCAATGTTCGGTGGCACTAGGGGGCACATCATTGCGCAGGATCACGCGCCAGCAACTCGCTTCCCCACTGCGTCCTGTGGACAGCACCAGAGGACCTTCAAACAGTCGCATGCTTAATATTACCTGCAAATACAGGATAAAGAACTGCCTCAAGATGGGAAAAGCTGCCCTCGCGACCTCCTTGATGGCGAGATGCTCAACCGTAGAATCGCCCACGCAAATCACGTGCATGGTCCTGAGCATGGCCGATTACACATGACATGATGCATGGCTCATGTCTATGCTTTGAGCTCTGATTGTATCGGCGCATGACCTGTGCACCTCTGACACGTCAACGCACGGGCAAAGCTGAAAAGCTGAAAGTGAGATGCGAATGCAAGAGACCAAGAAATCAGCCGATACGCAAGCAAGACTGCAGAAAATGCAAAATGCAGAAACGGAGTACGTGAAAACATGTCATGCAAATCGTCGGCAACTGGCGTTCAGAAGCCCACTTCTCCTTGTTGCAATTGAGAAAACATGAGAAAAGCATGTCACGGGGAACCCTCGCAGTACCATCTCTCTTCTGCTGCTGGGCTTGACCCGAATCCGAAAGCCCCCCTCACATGCAAGGCGCGCATTGCGTGTGCATTGCGTGCAATGCGCGCCCACGTTCGGTTCGAAGTCTGTGAAATGAACCAGGACAGAATGCACGCGCACCGCTGCAGGAATTAACCGAACTCCAGAAACCCCGAATGCTCCCTGTCCGGATCGTTTCTCATCCACCATTGTATTGCTGTGCTGCCTTGCCTTGGGTCCACCCACCCATCACGGAACTAGAACAAGGTCAGGTCATCACGATGTTCGACTCTTTCTTCCAAACCCGACATGGCGAGGAAAGGGGAGACACCCCACTAGAATACAGGCAGCAGGCAGCTGCTGAAAAAATCGGAAGGCTGCTGGAGGAGATACTTCGCAGGTGTCACCTCAAGGGGGAGTTGCTCGAGCCATGTAGCAGCATCGGTCGGGTTCATGAAAAAAAGAATTTCAAAAGGAGAGAAGGGAGCTTGCTTTGATTCAAGGGACCTAATCGGGGAGGCTTGCTTGCTTATCGCAAGTAGGAATCAGATTGAAAATTTGACAAGGAGAACCACTGAAAAGACATCGTAGGAGTGAAAGCACCAAGCAGAAAAGCAACACTAGAAAAAAAGGGGCGCTTTCAAAGGCTAGCACTTCGTGGCCCTGGGAGGATTTCCGCATTCACAGAAATGTAAGGAGCCTCTCCATCGTTTTCTTCGATTGGATAGATGTTAGCTGTTTTGGGTGTCCCCTGCTTCTTGTAAAAGGGCTCCCCTTAAGGTTGCTCCCCGTGATTCAGCAGCAAAAGAAATTTGCCTTGACAAGATGGTGAAGATGGTAAACCATTCAATTCGTTAGTTGCTTTTCGATCCCTTGTGAAAATCGCTTTTCTTCCAGAGACACCTGCTCATCCTTCTCGCCTAATTGTTCTGCTGTAGGAATGTTGGGGGCTCTCCTCTACAACAGAAGCGGACAGCAGAGCATCTATCTATGTACATATAGTCTTCATTTACTTATCCGGATATTTTTTCATGTATGCTTGTTTATGCAGTTTTTGTATTTATTAGCAAGCTTCTTGTTACCCAACGTTGGAAGCCGGTGGAGGGGGATTCTCTGCAGTTTCTGTGGGGATGTGAAAAGCAGCACTTCAAGGATGCTCTGCCGGATACCGCTGGACCCTCAAAAGGACAAGACTGAGACAGAGAGTGGATTCGCAGCCGCCAGCAATACCATCAAGCAACCAGCAGTATCGGCACAACAAGAACCAGGAGTATTGGGTCCCAGTCTTCGCTTTCACACCATAGATCTTGCGCAGGCACCTGAGCATTGCCTCGGACTGACTACATCCCACGCGCAGCAGCGGCAGTCATGCGGCATGCGAGACAATGGGCTCATGTGCACGGCAGGACTGCGTGTTGCACATTCCGCTTCGCAATCACGAACATGTCAACGCCCTCCTCCAACTGAGCCTCGGCTGAGTTGTTGTGGGGGCTTCCAGGTCCATGAAATGTAAAGATGAACTGAGCGAACCGAGGCGACAGTATGTCTGATCTTTTGGTGTACAACCATGTGCCGATGGCGGTTCGCTGCGGAGATCGACAATCTAAGCCGGCTCCTGCTGCGACGCATCTACATGCAAACAAGTTGCATTGTAGATGTGCGGTCGCGTGATATGTTCACGTGCATAGAACACCTCGATCTCAAGGTCCTTCCGTTTTCAGTCCAAGCATTGCACAGCTGCACAAGCTTGCTGCACAAGCTTGCACGCACCAATTCAATAGTTGGCGCCTGCATGAGCTTGTCAAAGTCGACACCAGGAAGGTACCTACTGATCCGGACTCTTCTGGAATCTTTCAGGGGCAAGTCTGAAGGCGGCGTCTGCTGCAAAGCTGGCCATGATGCGGAGGTCTCCACCCAAGGCCGTCGAGCAAGGGTCACAATGCTGACGCGACCGACGACCTGCTTCAGATGGCATTCCGAGAAAGTTCCCATGTCTGGCGTCTTTCCTCTGCAAAGTTTGTGCACGCAGAGCCTCTCGTGCTGCGAGCAGGATAGACTCCACGACTTGCGCATGAGCCTCTCGCACCGACCGCTCAGGAAGCCATATGGAAGCCAGCCATCCCTTTGCATATAAAGTGCTCTCATGGGCCAGCCTTGAGCTCGGCGTAGAATGGTGACTCGTGTGGCAAAGGTCCCTCCTGGACATGCAAGAGACAAAGAGAAAAAGAGGGAGAGAGAGACAGAGAGACAGAGAGACAGAGATGAGCTGCGGCAGCCTTTGCAGATTTAGGCTTGCTAGTTCGAGGCCTGGTTGTGAACAGCCTTCACCACTTCCGTGACATGCCTTGTAGGGAACAGTGTGTCATCCTCAGACTCAGACGGAACATCGAGGAGAGTCACGGCATGAATTGATGCATGGCGTGTTATATGCATACCATTTCATACGCACCGCTGCATAAAGAAGACACAGTACTGTAAGCCCGCCGCCCAATCGAAAATGACAACCGCCGGGATTCCACCTGGACAGAATGCAAAAAAGCATGTGGGCATTTCAACGCTACCGTTGGCCTGCCACGGGAGAGGTCTGGAAAGGCTCGCTAGCTGCCTTCTCCACAGCCAATCCTTACAAGGTTCCATCGGAGACATGGACGGATCAAGAGCTGCAAAAACACGAATGCCTCGACCGCGGCAGCGCGGAGCACGCCAAGCTAACACAACGCCTCCTCTGCATGTACCCCTGTGAAATCCCATTGGTTTGCAGAAACCCCACGCTGGGCATAGTTGGACTATTTCCGTGTGAACCCATGTAACTCTCGTAATTCCCGTAGTGTCAATGAATGGGACACCCCTGGGACACCCCCGGCACACCCCCTCCCTCCCCCTCGAGCGGCATGCAGGTTTCCGGGCGTCTCCGTGCCGTGCGGAGCCCAGAGGCCCATAACCGATCAATCGCGGAACCACGCAGCAAGGGAACGCGAATCCCCCAAGTAGGCGGACGTAAAGAACACGCCGACATCTCTTAGATGTGGCAGACTCCATGGTGCTAACGGTTTTTGTTCATGTAAGCATATGTAATTTATGCTATCATCAAAGTCAGGAATCCCCGCTAAGATGTTGAGTTTTCGAGCGGCCGTGTTTCGGTTGCTGGTGGCGCTGGTCAGTGGATTCCGTGGGTACATGAGCCTGTTTTGGGCCAAATGCCGGCCCTTGCCGCTGAGCTGATGTGGCTTGCAGCCGAGAGGCGTCCAGAAACTTCCTGTCCCCGCCCCCCCCTCCCCGCCCGCCCCCGCCCTGTGGGCATGCCCAAACCGCCTGCAATGCTGCGGGGTTCCAGACTCGGGGCACCTCCCACGGAGACCACGCCAACAAGCACGCAAAAAACTGGGACCTTTCCTGAAACCGCCCTTAAACCCCCGAAGACCCCTGCCTGAGACCCCTTGAAACCCTCCCCTTCACACCCACGTTGTGCTTGCTACACGCCACGTTGTTGGGCCAGCCCGGCTGCCGAAGCCGGGGAAAATGGGTTTACAATTTTAAACATCATCAGTCAAGACAAAAGTGGCGCTCGAGCAACGACGACTAAATGTATGTGTTTAGGACTCTGTCGGGCTTTGCCGCCACGACCGCGTGCGCTCTCACAAAATCCTCCCCACACAACCACAGAGTGAAACAAACACTCACAAAACGCCCAACAAAAACATGGAAAACCTCATGCTCAAGCACTGTTTAGCTTGCAAGGTGAAAGGATGAAAAAATGATAACAAATGCAAGTTACGTGTAGAGATGTATGAATAACAAAGAAGTTGAAACATTGAAGAATAATTTGCGCATGAATATGTTCATGAGACAACAACGGCAGCAAAAACTATGAAACACTATTGATGTATACTGAGTGTGGAACAGCCCAAATTCTCTTCATGGAGTTGTGTAGCGGAACTCACCATTCATTACTCATTATTGCTGGCTACACATTTCTTTCGAAACTTTACTTTCACACTTTCACTGCAGACTCATAACTCACTACTTGGATATCACGCCCACATACACTCACTCGACTATCTCTACCGAACACCCATTTAGAACATCCGTGTTATTCATAACTGAATCAACCGTTTCACGTTGCAACCGAAAACCCCCAATCCCAAACCCGCCAACCCAAAATCCTACCGAAAACTACGTGGAAAAAACACGACAATATAAGTATGTAGTAGATCCGGACTGTGCCATGCAATGGGTCATCTAATTAGTAGTCGCGAAGGCAACACAAAACGCGCAGGAACAAAGGACCAAATATAGCTATTCTAGATGAAAAAAGTACACCATAATAAACAAAAACACGAACACAAACTTTACAGCGAAACCCAGGACAGCATCCCAAACACAGGGTTTCAAACGATTTGATATATTCAAAACGGCGACGAAAGGAGCAGCAAGAACAAGAATTAAAAACAAAGATTAGCAAAAAAAAAAACGTTACTAGAAAAACGCAAGGGTTACAGCTGAGATAAGAGCATTCAAAAGTTATGTCAATTCATGTCCAAATTCACACATAACACCAGTTTGAACGGCAACTAGATAGGGGGATATGAAGCATCCAGAACCAAGACTAATCGAGTTTTTAAATAAGAAGAGAAAATGAGGATTGATACATACGTTGCTTTCACACATCTAGAAATAGAAGAACCGGTAGAATTTCGAAGAACAAGCAAAATTCACACAATTAACAACCCAGACAAGCGGAAAACAGCTGTTAAAAGATGGAATCAGACGTAGACATCATGGTCGGAAACTCGCAACAAAACAAATCAAGACGCAGAATGGACCACCTCGAAAAATCATCATTCAGTATGACAAGTACAACCCCACAAATCAAGAGTGGGTTCATATGTTGAATTACCTAAAGGAATCGCCACTAAGGAAGCGTGCATTAATGTTTAGAATGACGCCGGTTATCGCTTCAAATGATGCATCCAATCCAGATGTTCTGGGATGAAGACAACCCCGACAGCAGAAGATAATGTAACCAACTGGGATAGTGTAGAGCTGCCGGCTTCCAATGAAGACATTCGCACTTCTGAAGAAACCAACCGACCGAGTTATTTCCGTTCATGTTTATGCAGATGCAATAAACCCGAACGGAGCAGGAATCACGAAACTACAAACAAGCATAGGGAAAGACTACTTCATTGCAGATATTGCCAGCGGGTTTCACAAAGAAGCACTTCTTAGCAACGGATGCATGGCAAATGAAACTCAATAAACGGTTATGCCGAAGGAGGACGACAAATCAAAATTCCAACAAAGGTACAAGAAAGTGAAGTGGAAGTGCCCTTCTGCATGTAAGGTCAGTGTGAAGGTTAACAAGGCTTCATCAAATGGAACCAAGCGCACCTGTCAACACCATAAACTTGGACCATAAACCGCATGGTGTTATGATAAATGTTGTCGATAGCATCACTGACGAAGCAACACTTTATTGTTCTGAAGGTTGTACAAGCAGAGGTTGTGGACAAGATGAAGGAAGAGAAACAGATTGAGTGGACGGCGAGTCAACGGCAAGAAGCATTGTTTTAAATGCCGCGTCGCTTCGACCCGACAAAAAACCCCGGCCAAAACTCAAATCGCCGACCACTGTCACTTCACAAAACAGTATAGAAATACCTACAATGAAATTTAGGCTACAAAATACGTTACAACCCTATTGCTGATGCTCATCTCGTAATGTCGTAATGTCACACATGGTTGTTGTTAATTTAGTGAAACATCACGACTAAGATCGAAGACCCTACAGCCATTTCGCAGAAGAAGGGACTAAACAGGGCACAAACTAGATAAGAGGGGCATTGTAAACAACAAACCTAGGTCAGTATCACGACCGATACTTGCAATCTGACGTGCTACTAATTGAGTGATTTCCTCAAAAACTGTAGGAGGAGCTGGCTAATGGATTAGACACTGCTCGTTCCAGAACTCATTTATGACCTACAAGATGGTTGAAAACGAACTTCGTGGCGGGGTGTGCCAAGCACCGATAAGAAAAGCAGAAGCAAGCAACCCCTTTAACGAAGAACATTAATAAAATCAAAACAAAAAAACTTCATACACGAACGATTGCATGCTAAGAACCAAAACGGGTTGGCAATGTGCCAGGCATTCCCATACAAAGGCATCAAATTTATCAATGGCCTAGACAACTGTACACAAAAAAAGAGAGACTACACTATGACATTAAAGGGTTACACGACAAACGTACAGATTATCCACGGGCACGTCTGCTGAATGTAATGCCAGAGCAAGGAAGCAAAAGATGAACAAACGAAGAACTATTCCTGAACGTTATGAGGAAACCTGACATAGAGTAGGAGTGAGCATTCATAAACAGGTATGCGTTTCTCTTGTTTTTGTTTAACTATTTTTTTTGTTTTTTTCTTTCCGGTCTGGTTGTCGCTAGCGTTTGTGTTTTGTTGTTGTTTTGTTTTGTTTTTTTATCTTTTGGCGATATCCCAGTACCAACAGCATCCGTGGCCTTAATCGTACACATATACATCCAGCTGCAAGAGAAACAAGATGAAAATGATAGGCTAGTGTATACCGACACTGATAGTTCGTTACGCACCGTAATCAAGGATGTACATGATGACTCCAACCAAATTAAGGACCAAAATGGACTCCAGCAATTAAGTCACGCATGCCATGACCCGACCAACAAGAAGGTATTAGGCCCTAGACAAACTAAGGGACGAGTACGACGGCAAAATCACCACACACTTCATCGGATGAAAACCGAAGTCCTATGCCTTCAAGGGATATAACCCAGGACAAGCAGGATAAGAGGTCAAAGGCACAGTCAATCTGAAGAAACACTGAAAACACACAGTTGCGCGTGGGGGTGTGGGATTGTGTCGGGTGTGTGGGATTGTGTCGGGCGCGTGGGATTGTGTCGGGTGTGTGGGATTGTGCCGGGTGTGTGGGATTGTGTGTGTGTGTGTGTGTGGGATTGTGCGCGTGCGTGCGCGCGTCCGTGCGCGTGTGCGTGTGCGTGCCCGTGCGTCTGTGCGTGTGTGCGTGTGCGCGCGCGCGCGCCCTCGCGTGCGCGTGTGCGCGTGCGCATGCGCGTGCGTGCGCGTGCGCGCGTGCGTGCGCGTGCGCATGCGCGTGCGCGTGCGCGTGCGCGCGCGCGCGTGCGCGTGCACGTGCACGTGCGCGCGCGTGCGCGTGTGCATGTGCGTGTGCGTGTGCGTGTGCGTCTGTCTGTCTGTCTGTCGGTCTGTCTGTCTGTCTGTCTGTCTGTCTGTCTGTCCGTCTGTCTCTGTGTGTGTGTGTCTGCCTGCCTCTACGTGTGCGTCTGTCTGTGTGTGTGTGTGTAAGTGAACCCTGATTCTAAGCTAAGGGGCTTGGATTCGCCAAAAAGGTTGGGCCGAGCTCCAGCATCT